CACTTCCCGACGCCAAAAATGTTACAAAACCTATATTAACCTTATCCGATCGCACCTATCCGTTCCGGACCGTAAGCAGGGTTAGCCTTATCCGGACCCGATCCAAATTTCACTCGGGGTATTACCCCATTATGCCTCGACGCACCGTTTACGTAACGATGTGTTATGGCCGGTTATGTATTTGTTTGATTTGAATCATCACTAGACTTTTAGTTAGTCAAAAGAATATTCAAACCAACATGTATTGTAAATATCTCAAAAAAGAATAATGAATAGTGTAGTTTCCCTAATATTTCAAAGCGAAAATTAGAATTTGTGGGTTTTTTCGTCGATCTTTGATAAAATCCAAATTTAGCGCACTCTCACACTAACAAAAACCACTCCATACAGCGCAGCAGAGCGGACTGAACGTTGTGCGCAATGTTCACGGGTCTCTATTACCTCTAATGCGTACCACACTCCTTTCTCATTCCACCCTGGTACCCCGATCCGCCCCAGTCCGGATAATCGCGAATAATCAGGCAGTCCGGATAATCGCGAATTCGGATAACCGAGGTCCGGATAATCGGGGTCCTACTGTAATTAATTCGTCCAACAAAAAAAAAGTTGACATCGGTAAAAATTTCCTAAAACAATTCTAAAGAAAAGTATAAAGAAAATAATTATATTTACTTAATTATTTTGCATAAAGTTTGTAGAGTTAAAATGACATTCAGTTAACATGCTATATCTTTTATACTGAAATATCATGACATTCCCTAATCCCTACACTAATATTTTTGCTGAATCCCTACTATAATATTATAAATGCGAAAGTAACTCTGTCTGTTAGCTTTCACGCCTAAACCACTGAACAGATTTTAATGAAATTTCTCTTGGGAACGCGATATAATCGAACTCCACCCGGCCGAAGCTGCGGGCGGAAAGCTAGTCTAATATAATTTCGACTTTTCCTTGCCTTCATGGTTCTATCATTATTTAAGTAATCTAATATATAAAATTCTCGTGTCACAGTTTTCGTGCCCATACTCCTCCGAAACAACCTGACCGATTTTGATGAAATTTTTTGTGCTTATTCGGTAGCTATGAGAATCGGCCAACATCTATTTTTCATCCCCCTAAATGTTAGGGGTAGTCCACCCCTAAATTATTTTTTTTTTGTTTTTTAGACAAAATTTTTAATTACTATTTTTTTATGATACAACGTACAAAAATACATACAATCCTAAATTTTCACCCTTCTACGATCAACCCTTATTTTTTAATAGCTATTTTAGTAATTTAATCATTTTTCATCTCCGGTCGATAACTGATCAATCGTCATTTAATAAGTTATCCCCGCCAGATATCTACAGGTGTCACTTCTGACCCAGTAAACAGCACGGAGTAGGGATGAGAACGAAGCCGGTCTTCTGTTTCTCTCACACAATTAGACTTCTCTCACTCCCTACACAGTTGTCGGCCATCGTTATTGTTTGTGCATCAAGTGTAGTAGTAACGTTGACAATTATTATTTTGCTAGCTCAGTGTAACTCTCATATTAACTATTAATCATTCCTAATCACTTCAAAACACGGAGATTTATGGCTTTAATAGGTAAACTCCAAAAATATAAATAAAAAAACGTAACAGATATTTCTTGATTATAGGGCGAAACGAAGTTCGCCGGGTCTTCTAGTGATTATATAAGAATCTTATATAATCATTACAGTGGCGGCTGTACCTTAAGTGCACTCGTGCGCTGAACTACCAATTCAAAATATTTAAAAATTACAAAATATTGTCATCTTTATTTTTAAATTACCATCTTAATATTTATTTTTTAAACATACAAAAAGGTATAAAAAAATTAATTTCCAATTATTATGGTCACAAAGTTTGAGCGCTTTACTAAACTCATATCATGCGCTTCGGCGAGTGCACGAGGACTGCCAAATGCTAATACATCTTGTATGAGATGCGCATTAATACGCCTGACGCGTGAAACAAAAGATAGTTCATAGAAATGTACCGAGGTACTCGGTCCGAGTAATGAGTCGCTTCTCGAGCGCCGCACGAGCGGCCGAAGATTACCGAGAGCAACCGATGTATGACGTATTGAGCCGGTCGGCAAGGACGAAAAGGGATGGGTGCTATGATTGACATCCAGTGTTTCCACATTGAGGGGAAATTAGGAAATTTAGGGGAAATTAGGGTCAAGAGGGAAAAGAAAAGGGGAAAGACTATAAAAGGGGAAATTGGGGGAAATCAAAGATAAATGAGGGTTTTGAGGAGGAGACGTAAAATATTATTTTGTGCAAAAATGTATGCGCTGACAGCGTTAACTGATTTGGAATAAAAAATGAGTATACAACTCCATTTTTTGTTTTTATTATATTTCTGGTCAGTCTGTAAATAAAACACAAACACAAAAATAAATAAATTTTAGGTGTGGCGTGTGGTGTCAAAACTACAGCAAAATAATTTTTGAGGGGGAAAAAGTCCGTAGAAGGGGAAATCTGAATTGAAGTGTGGGAAAAAGAAATCGTTCTAGTGGAAACACTGTTGACATCTCGTTAGTCGTTATTGGTATTGTTTCAACTTGCACTGTATGCGTGACGCGTTAATTAATTATTGTTTGTAACTATTTCCGTAATTGTTTTTAGTTTTTGTTTCGATTCTATAATAGAACTTTTATTCTGTACTGTGTTTTTTATTAGTTGAAAATGAGTATAAACATTGATTATATTAAAGAAAATAACAAAAAATTTCAAAGTAAAGTGAACATAAAATTGGCCGGACCGCCACGGCCCTTTTTAAATTTAAAACAAGAGTGTAAATCGAAAAATAAAGCATTTACACGAAGTTTTAAAAGTGAAATGTATAATAGAAAAAAATGGTTGTGTGGATGTGAGCGTCTTAATGCATTCTTTTGTTTTCCTTGCATTATTTTTGGCGGAGAATCGATTTGGACAGAAACTGGAATCAAGGATTTGACGCATTTAAGTGAAAAAATAAAAAAACATGATTCTTCACAAGTACACCTACAAAATGTAATGAGTTTGTCTGTGTTAGGCACAGTCGACATTCGTCATCAGCTAGATTCTGTGCATAGAAGTAATATCCAAAAGTATAATAAACAAGTTGATAAAAACAGGTACATGTTATCACGTCTTATCGATTGTGTCAAGTTTTGTGGTGCATTTGAGTTAGCTTTGCGAGGTCACGATGAAACTATTGAGTCTAGTAATGCTGGAGTGTTTCGTGGATTAATAGACTTTGTATCAGAGTTGGATACAGTCATGAAGGAGCATCTCACGTCGACTACAGTTTTCAAAAGCACGTCAAAAACTATTCAGAACGATATTTTGGACTCAATTTTATGTGTTTACCACAAAGAATTGTCGAATATTATAACGAAATGTGAATACGTAGCAATTCAAGCTGATGAAACTACCGATGTATCGACGACTATGCAGATGGTAATGATTTTAAGATATGAAGAAAACGGACACGTTCACGAACGGTTTTGGAAATATCTTACGCCGCATTCTCATACTGCTGAAGGACTTAGTTCTGTTATTATAACAGAATTACGAGAACTTCAAATAACTCCTCAACAATTAATAGCACAATGTTACGACGGCGCTGCAGTAATGAGCGGGAATGTTGGTGAAGTACAGGCTAAAGTAAAAGCCGTCTATCCAAATGCTTCATTCGTTCATTGTTACGCCCACCAACTAAATTTAATAATAGAAAAAAGTGTAAGTCAAAACAAAATCGTACAGAAGTTTTTTGCTAACCTTCAAGCTTTTCCAAAGTTTTTTTCACAATCACCGAAGCGTACAGAAGTTTTGAAAACGATTGTATCAAAGAAGTTTCCAGCTGTTCCGCAAACGAGATGGAACTTTAATTCGCGGACCGTTGATTCAGTACATAGCTACAGGGAGCCTTTAAAAGAGTGCATGACCACAATTATAGAAACGGAAAATGATACCAGTTCTATAAATCAGGCTGATATGCTTCAAAGATATTTGAACGACAGTACTTTTTTATATTGGCTTGATTTTTTTAAATCTATTCTGCCACATACTAAAATTTTATTCCAAAAAATGCAAAAAAGAAATATTGATTTGGTTCATATAAAGAAATGTATTAATGATTTTGAAATCAGTATACAAAATGCGCGTAACAACATAGATGAACTTGAAGAACCACCTCAAAAAAGGTTTATATCGTCTAGTTCGGTTATAGCAAAAGAAGTGTGTGATGTAATTATTACTCAAGTAAAAGACAGATTCAATTTTTGTGATCATTTGATAGCAGCCAAATTATTTTACTGCGAGAACTTTACCACATACCGTACTACTTTTCCCGACAAAGATTTCATGATCACAGTTTCCACATACGCCGCTTTGGACAAGTACAAATTTAAAAACGAACTTTCCGCAATATACAATCGCGACGATTTCACCAATGCAAATAGTGCAATTGCAATTTTACAGTTGTTTTATAATAATGACCTGACTGAATCATTTTCAGAGTCAATGAAACTATTGCGAATTCTATGCACTATACCAATGACTTCAGTAGAGAGCGAGCGATGTTTTTCGACACTGAAAAGAATCAAAACTTTTCTCAGAAATACCATGTCTCAGGATCGGCTAAATGCACTTTCTGTGCTTAGTATTGAAAAGAAATTTATAGAAAAAATACCAGATTTTAATAAAAAGGTTATTGATTATTTCGCTTCAGAAAAATGTCGTCGCATTGATTTAATGTACAAAAAATAAACATATTTTATGTCAATTGTTGTTTTGTTGAATTTTCTAATTTGAATATTTTAGTAAAGTGCACCACCAGGATCTTAAACGGTGAGGACCATCCCTAATGAAAAATAAATCGGAGTAACAAAGAAGTGCTCTGTTTAAATATTTATTAATCGTTATTTTCACATTTGAGAGGGGATATTTAAAAGAAATAAGAGTCTAATTTCACACGTATTTTATACTTTTAACATCCTACAACAAATAATCTAGTTCATATCTGACAAAATGATTATTAGGATCATTTTGTATTCGTGGGTAACCAGCGACCAGTGCGTCTTGGCCTCCGATGTACAATGTGTTATATATCTTCCAGTACACATCACGGACTTTTCTAGCTGGATGGAATAAGCCCTAAAATAATATCACAAGTCATTAATATATAGAATAGTTAAAATTTACACTATTTAGGAAATCTTATTTACCTGTAATGCATATTGGAGTATTTTTATTGGGCCAAGTGCCACTCTCATGCCCTCAACCGCGTCCATAAAAGCTTGTACAAGATGCGGCGATGTTTCAAATATATTCGGCCAAACATGGTTCAACAAATGTATTAGAGCATCTTCACATCCGAAACCGTACACGCCCAATGCCATGTGTTTTATAGCGGCACAAGCAGTTTGTCGATGCACCAAATCTCTGTTAAATAAAAAAATATATTTTAAAGAATATATTATATGATAATTATGGGAACATTACTTGAAACTTACCTGTCCATAAGTGCGTCCTCTAACAATGGGCACACAGCATATATATAATCTTTACCCATTTCTCCGATGTACTCAAACAAAAATGACAATGATTTCAAAACACCATTCTGTACATTTAATTCTGGAACTCTGTACTCATTCATCAACGCTGGCAAAACTGTGAACGGAGAACATGTCTCAGCTACAATGGCAATTGCAACTGTTGTGCACACTCTGAAAAAGAAAAAATATTCAAACTTTTTTTTTTTGTTTTACATATTAACAAACAAACTAAATATTTCAAAGCAGACCGTTTAATTATAGCATAAAATGTACCATGACAAATGATGATAAAGTAACAAAAAAAAAATACACAGGTTGATATTAGAAAAAGGCTATACGGCGGTATTACCAATTACTTTAACTTCGAGACATCACTGGGACACCCCAAAAAGATCTTTCAGTTATATATTTTAAAAGGAATAATAAAAATTCCATATGAATGTTCAAAACCTAAATTATTTAATAATGTGTAATGTGCTTGTAATAATTCACTAACCTGTTCTGTCTCTCTTGAACTTTTAGATTATTGAGCAGTGTGGCCAGTACGTCATGCGGACCGATAGCTTTAGCGATGTAACCAAATGTATTGACTGTGGCTCTCCTGATAGCTTTCTTGTGTGCTTTGAGCAATTCCAGCAGTTCAAAGCAAATCCTCATCCACTCTCTCGCTGACACGAATTCGGGACCCCTGTCTGCAATACGTCCGACCAGATCAATGCAATTTTCTTGCACTTTTTCATGTCTGTAAAAAGCAATCGTTATTAATGTATAATTTATTTTTATTTGAAATTCCTAAACGTAGATGAGTCCGAGGTCGAATGTTTTTGATGATTTTGTTGCCTAATGTGTCACTGCAATAAAATAAGTAAAGCTCTATACCTGTTCTTGAGGATTGGCGTTAATCTAGGAAGTAAATCCTTGATGGGTGGTGTCATTTTGGTCATACCGATCACATTCACTATAGCCTTTAAGGCACCTAGAATAGAACCGAGTACTTCAGGATATTCCTCCCCGAGATATTCATACAGCACTACACCGAGATGCCCCATAAGTTTTTCCTGTAATTAAATAAAATTATTAACAAATCGTCATAACAGAACACGTGTGAAATTAGGTTGACTCACCTCCTGACAAGTTTTCATGACTACGGCGATACGAGAAATAAGATCGGCAGCTTGCTGTCGCACCTTCGCTGACTTGTTGTTCATACGCCACAGAATTATACCACAGATTTGAGGTAAATAAGGCTTGACTCGTTTACCAAGCTGATTCACTATCGTACCAAATCCATTCAACATCACCACGTCCTCGGTGGTCTGTTCTTGGAACGCGTATAGAATGCCGTCAATCAAAGCTTCCTCAAGCTTAGAATCTATATCAGCTGCGCCCAAATTGGCTAGAATTTTTTCAATGGACTCCATAACCATTTTCCTATACTGTTCGTTGTCATCCTTGAGGTCGTCTACGATTCTGTTTATTATTTCCGACGCCCCAACCTTGAAGTAAACAATAATAAATTTTGTTTTTGAATAAAAAAATAATAACAAATCAACGTGTTCACAACGTATTATAAAGCAAATTCAACAATCTACGTTTTGTCAAAATATATATTTTTTTTTTGTAAAAAAAATCAATCATATTATGAATCCTAACAATTAACATGCTTATAGATTAAACGAAATATAAAACTTCCAAAAAATTGAGTCTTTAAAAAAGGAACTAGTATTTCAGTATTTTTTAAGTACTATTTAGTATATAATATATAAGGATTATACTAATTAAATTTATATATAAAAAATATATATCATGGGCATATGTAAGAAAGCAATTGTAATGAATACCTTGTTAGCTATTTCGACCGTTGTATCGACAAGTTGGCGATAGTTGCGACGGTCCAAAGCCATTCTGTGATTCCAGAAATGTTTGAAGAAGTGAGGTAGGATTTCATCCATAATATACTGAGGTTCAACACCATCTGTTCCACAACACTGCTTTACCACCTATATATAAAAAATATATTTGTAATAACACTAATCGTATAGATTGTTAAAGTAATAGAATAGTTCATATGTTTTACCTTCAATACAATCTTTTTCATTTCCTCGTCTGGCGACTGGAACTCACGGATCAATATAAGCATCACCTCACGGGTGTAATAGTTCGCATATTCGGCGTCCATGAGAGGTATGAGGTAGCCGATAGCCTTAAGGAAGGCAGCTAGACCCTTACCGCGATGAGTTCTGATACCTTTCCATAATGGTTTTAACACGGAGTCAAAGGATTCGATACCGTACGGCGTGGCTGCCTCGGCTAAAGCGGCGCTCGCCAACGCCGTGATCGTTCTAACTTTTTGTTGTTCGTCGACCAAGCCATGTTCAATGATTTCCACGAGCGACTTCAGATGTGGCAATATAGCACATCCCATTAGAATAGCGATTTGTTGCACGATCTTGATACCGGTGTGCCGAGCTTGCCATGACTTCTTCGATCTGCACACGGCCTTTAAAAACGGCAATAGAGACGGAATACCTGAAATATAACATTTAGTTTCAATACATGAAATTGTGCCTAGGCCTCCTCACTGAGATACGAGCTTTCCTACTTAACAGATCAGAAATGCATTGATTTGTATTGTGTTGTTTAATAATTTATTTAATAATTAAATTAGGAATAAATGAAATATGTTATATTAAAAATAATTTTATATTTTGTTATCAGCCTATCAGAGCCCACTGCTGAGCAAGGCCTCTTTCTCACATGGAGAAGGTTTGAGCATTAATCACCACACTTGTTCAAGACGGGTTGGTGATTTCAAACTTATAATTGTGAAACTATAAGTCCAGGTTTCCTCACGTTGTTTTCCTTCACCATATGTCAGTGATGTCTAAATACTCTCAGAAAGTACATATGACTTCGAAAAATCACATTGGTACTTGTCAGGGTTGAACCCGCGCCCTCGGCAACGAGAGGCGGGCCCCTTAATCACTAGGCAACCACTGACTTTTATATAATAAAACTAAATATGTATGTTACCTAAAGCAGATGCAACAACAGCGAAGGCCCTGGCAGTGGTGTTACGAACATATTCATCTATATTATCAATATCTGGTCTCATTGTAGAAATCATTGTGGCTAAACCAGCCGCTTTTGCCAAATTGGATATGATCTCTCGACCCTCGACACGGGCGTAGTAATCTTCATCAATAAGCAGAGGTTCTATAACGACCAAAATCTACAAAAAAAAATTTAACAAAATATAAAACAAAGTAATTAATTGTAAGCATACAATGTAACAGTTACTGAGATACTTACTTTGTGTACATATGGGCGGACCAAATCATCTAATTTGTAAAGAATTCGGTCTATAACTTTTACTAAAAGATGACGTTCTTGATCTTCGAGTGTAGGACTCATCAATAACGGTAGGATTTGATTAAAGAGCGGTCCAGCGCCGAAATCTCGAGCTTTGTCTGTGATCTGACGAAGAGCTGCTTTGCACATAGGTGGTGTTCCATTCTGAAAAAATAAGTTAGTGTTATCGTAAGAGTAATTTTTTTCAACATCATCAACACTGAAACCAGTAAATTAAACTCGTACCTTAATCTTAAGCAGCAGCTTCATGATCTTTCTCTCTTTAAGTTCCTCGGGAGACAGTGTTTCTTCGTCCACGTCGATAAGGAGTTTGTCGAAGTACTGAGCGTCCTCGGGCTTCATGAACGGCAGCTGCTGACTGCCCTTGGGCTGCGGGTCGAGCAGCCGCGCCGCCGCTGCAGCACTCCCGCCCACTTCCTCCGTCTGCATGAAAAAGCCGATTGGGGTACCAGCCAAAGGTGTGGGCGTCGCGGTCAGCTTACGAGCCGGGGTCCGAATAGGAACATAACCTGGGCGACAACAGACTCATTAATACGGACCCTGCCGTCGGATGGATCTATCGCGCGCTTATTGAATACAGCAATTATGTCGATAAGCAAAACTGCAGATCTATCCGTCGGCAAGTTGTTAAGCATGTTATTGTCATCATTTATCTGAAAGAAAAATTTCTTATTAAATATTTTTAACTGTTTTACATAATGTGTTTTTGTTTTTGTATGTGCGGTTCGTAAAACCAATGTTTTCGATTCCGTTAAACAGCCGTTATTTATAACATATTTCCTGAAACTCAAGTTTATAGTATTACTAAATTGTTGCTTTCCTTTCATTTTTCTTTAGTATGTTTTATGAAAATATATTGAATATGATCATAATGAAAAATGTATTACTCAAATTATCAAACCACTTACCGGCCGGTGGAGGCAAAACCTTGTACCCAGGTGGGAACATGGCATCCAGTTCTTCATCAGTGTACGGTCTATTTCGTTCATCAATTTCTTTCTCCCAGCGATACGCTTGCAACTGTTCTGGCGTCATAGCTGCAATGTGGCCCGGCGTAGGGGTCGCCATTGCCATTGCTTTAACGCCCACCGGTGTTGACTAAATATAACATTAAAAGTTTATATTATTGACGACATTCAATTAAGAAATAAATAAATTGATATACAACGTTAATATTACTCACACCGCCTGGAGTAAACATTGGCGTATGAGGTGTAGGTGTTCCCATGGAGGGTGTAGCATGTGAGGGTGTGGCGTGTGAGGGTGTCGCGTGTGAGGGTGTGGGTGTCGCTGCGGCCGGAGTGGCGCCAGGAGTCTCATCCCAGCGCGATCGTCTCTTAGTACCCGGCGTGGGTGTCTCTTGTATAGTATCAACACCTACGCCGCGATCAGTGCGAGGAGTTTCGGCCCAACCGCTGGCATGTCCAGGCGTTTCTACAGAACAATTACGATTTTTAATTTGTTTATTCACATTGCTCACATATTTAAGATTCAAGCACATAAGCCAAGACGATTTAGGATTAAGATGTTAATGAAAAATAGCATGTATATGTATACATACCATTAAGCCTTCTAATAATCAATAAAATTTAGAACAATATTCATACCTCTATCAGTTTTGGGTGTCTCATCCCACCGGTTCCGCCTGGAGGCATGGTGGGCGGGCGTCTCACGACCGGGTGTAGCATGCCCCGGTGTAAGATGAGCTGGCGTGGCGTCCCACACACGTGCAGACGGCGTCGCGCCAGGTGTCTCACCGCCACGGCCACCCGCACTCGGTGTCTCTTCCCATGCACCTCGCTGTAATAGTAGTAGAATATTAAGTATAGTTATTTATTATACATCAATATGTATGTTGGTCTGGGTAAAGTCTACTTCTACATAAGCATGTTCATTAATAGAATATTATATTATATCTTTTAAAATACAGTGGACCCTGGTAATCCAGCCCCTGTCTAATCTGGCAACCCCTGTAATTGGACATGATCTTTTATTTATTATTGAATACATATTTTGTATTTGCTAATGCATGATTGAACAAGTTACAACTTGTACGCACCATCACTATTGTGCTCAACGCGTAGGGTACTTCAGAATACATATAAGTACATATGTATATATAATATGTAAATAATCTTATCATTGAATCTTTAATTTATCAGATTACAAGGTACTCTTTTGTAAAAAAATGCAGACTATAGGGGGTCTTAGGCAGTACTCTATAATCTGACGAATTTTATGGTTCGACACTGCCCTGCAAAATGTTTGTCGGACTACTGGGGGTCCACTGTACTTAAGTATCATTGGTTAGTTAACCTCATTTTCCCAGGATGGCGTAGCCTGAGAGCTTGGTGTAGCTTGAACCACAGGTTTTTTCACAGACGGTGTATCCTCTGAGCTCTGGTCCCAGCGACCTTTACGTTTTGCTGCTGGTTTTGTTGCCTCACCATTTGACTGCGATACTGCCTTGAGTGTGCCTTCTCTTGCTCTTTCCAGGAGCTTTTTCCGTAACTGAAAATAATGGATTAATTTATGAGTTTCATACAGTAATAAATATTTCAACTAAGTTCATAGATAACAGACAGTAATAAAACCTACAAAATAGTTATATTCAAAATTCTAAAGTGTACAGTGAATTGATTTTTTAATATTACCTCTGTTTCTTCAGCTCGCAAATACTGTTCTTTCATAATTTCTGTATATGTCCTAGAACCAACATCTGGTGTCTTTCCACCTGCAAAATATAAACAAACATATAACAAAGAAAACCACTTTAAATCATAAGTATTATTTCAATAAATAACCTACTATAAAAATTGTAATTGCAACCTTTTAACTGCTTGATCTCTGACTTACCTTCAGCGAAAGGATCGGAACGTTCTGGTGATATAATCATCCTACGCCTTTTTTGGCGATACTCATCTTCTCTGTCTGCAATAGTAGGTCTTCGTTTATCAGCAAACGGATCATAATCTTTATCACTCTAGGAGGATAAACAAAAAAAATTACTTATTGGAACATTTACAAATATCTGCATAAATACAAAGAGATACTTAGTTTTGCATACCTGAGCAATGTCGTTTAATAAAGAAGCGGGAGCAGTATAGCCAGGTCTCTTCTGTGATATTGGTACATTCTCAACATCCTCGTCCTCCACTTCATCATTAGCGGCAATAGAAGTCACGTAGCCATCGTATCTGGATTTCCCTCCTTGGCCAGAATTGTCATAAATGTCACTGTCATAGAAGGCATCACCCAGAGAAACACCCTTGCCTGAACCATTTTCAGGCAGCTCCTTTTTCTTCGATTGTATTTCTTTTATTTGGGCCTCGATGGCTGAAAGTATAAATAATTCTCAATAACATTCATTATAATTAATATGTCAATTAAGAACCTCAAAAGTATGTTGAACCACATGATGGAATACGAACAACATCCCTGCCAACATGCTAATAAACTTAGAATATGGTAGCAATAACGCTTATAGGGAAAAAAAGAGTAATCATCTTAAAATTGCATTGCTAGTTTGATACACTGATTTGTTGGCTAAAAATGGCTGGATCAAAGCTTGTTTATTAAGTTCCGATGTTTAATATTTACCTTCATGAGTACGCGGTATTTTATCCATAACTGTATTAGCATGGACACTTAAACTAATTTAAAACTATATTTTAATAATTACAACACACTTAAACTATGAATTATATATTCCGCATCAATAATCGTAAAATGCATGAACTACACCAACAGACTCTATAAGTACATAATATAAGTCACAGACTATCTATTATCGTGGTCAAATATATATAGACTAAAAAAGTATCTTAAAGTAAAAGCAACTTAATATAATCTTTTTTAATAGTCGTATAGGAAATTGTACATAAGATTTTTTAAATAATTATTTATATATTTTAATAAAAAAAACATTAAGTGACAAATCACAACATTTTAAATAGTCTTTAAAATTAATGATAAAATCCTATATAAAGACTTTTTAAATTTATTGAATCAGCTGATATAAGTATCACTTTTTAACGGTTATTTCACCATCAAAACCGATTTATAAAATGTTTCAATAATTTAAGAATTATCTATATAAAATCAAGAGAAAGTGAACGCGACCTTATCATTTAGAATTTCCAACGTAAGTCCAACGCCACCATGGTCCAAAGTTAAGTGATGGCAACAATAATTTGACATTATAATTTATAAAGTCTGTGGTTCACTCTCCTTGCTTGCTGCAGCATTGGGTACGTGTGTACAAAAAAATATTTTTTGTTTTCTTTCATGAAATATTAAAAATGCATTCTTTGTTCCACTAGGAGTAGAAAAATCGATCCTGGCGTTCCAAGGATAATTTTCCAGATTGATTAGCTACAGTACATACGGTATGTATAAGTAAATTTTAAGAAGACTACTTCCACGTCAAATGTGTTGGAAGAGGTGACACGTATTATCAAAATCTGGAATGCCGAATAATAAAAATGTGTGTTTTACTATTGCAAATTACACATGATACGGGTTTTTAAATTATTCTTAATTTCGAATACAAAATCGAAAGTATATTATAAAGCTGTTATGTTAGATTTGCCTTTATTATTATTTTAGAAATATCCAATCATTGCTGCAACCTATGAACTTCAATTTAACATTTCACTATGATATAGTTGTGAAACTATTGACTGTGCATCAATGAATTGATTCAACTAAGACTTATGGTCAACTTTTATTGAAGAATGCATTATTTTCAGACATATAATTACAATTTTGTGTTATAAACATGTAGTTTTAATTTCCATATAGCTAATATTCTATGACAGATATTCAAAATAATAAGGACACAACAATTTACAGAAAGGTTAAAAGAACACAATAATAGAAGAGAAAATAGTTTTATATTGAAAAAAAAATTCAATTTTGCTATTCATGCATAGTATTAGACACAACTTTCACCGACTTCATTATACATAAAACTATTTATAATCTTTGATATGAGCTACAATACTTTGTTGGAATAAAAATTTGAACAATTAATATTATTATATATTTGTATTTAATGAAATATACAAATTTTATATTTATGTAATTTTTTTATTTATTTATGACTTCAACATCATCAACATTTATTTAAATAGATTAATTTATTAAATTACTGAAGTTATCACTTAACATAATGCATTTGGTTATGACAACATTAAATTTTAACTTTTTTTTTATTACATTAAAGTTACTAAGTTATAGAAGTAATTAGTATTGTAGTTTATTCTCATCCCTTAAAGTAATTTTATAATGATTATGAAGAACCTAAATTTAGAAATGTCCTAATAAATGTGTAAACAGGTTTCAAAAAGCAAATAAAAATTTAATTTACTTTCTCAGCACCTGATTAAATACAAATACATTATGTGATAGATAGAATTTAAAGAAAGATAATTCTTAATTTAGTACTGTAACGACTTGGCGCGAACAAGGACTGCTGGAGGAGACTAAAATGATGCATCAGCAATCCATGATGGTTGGAGACATGATACCCGTACACTCTGAAATACCCGTGCATACCGAGGAGATGAATAATGTTGGCTACGAGTCCAATAGCAACTCGTATGCTTACGATGACCTGTTCCCGGCGTTGCCTCACTCGCAGGCTCCGGTCCAACGCAACCTTCAGCCCATCAGCAACAAACTGAGGGTTGGATCCTCTCTTCATACTCAGGTAAGAACAAAGTTTCAATAAGGAATGAAATTTCTTAGTATTAAATGGATTCAACGTGTGGGTGCCGGATCCATCGCGTTGCAGAGAGAGGAGCTTCACAAGTGTCTGGGACTTACGACCTAGGTGTAGATTATTTAAGGGGCCCTTATCTTAATCTCGTCAAACGCTAACCTCTTCTGTTCAAAGTCCTTTCTCTATCTAAACAAATTTGAAACGAACCTACTAGGGCTGCCTATGAAGTACGTTGTGGGAATTAATTGATGTTAGTTCTGAACCGGCTCAAGTTTTTTTAGTACTTTGTAGGGAGATTTAGCTGTTATACCTCTCACTCTCACTTCTATCGCCGAAAAATACACGATGAACCTCTTCTTAATGAGTTCGTTGCTAAGCACGTCATACTTGTTGACCTTGATGGCATGGTCTTTAAGGATGTTGGTTTTCCAAGGAAACGTAAACTTTATAATTCGCGAATACAGAAATACGTGTGGTCTGGACGCCAACACACAAATATCCTCTGGGATTTTATATTGTTTCTCATACGTATCCATCGTTATAGTCCAATTGGGAGCCGCTTTAAGGATAGAGTAAGGTTTTGAAGTTCGATTTTATAACCCCAGTGCCTTACTTTTCACAATTACATAACTTGCCGATAACATATTTTTAATCATTAATTCGTTTAAGTGGATTGCGTTATCAATTTGATACGAATATATATTTCTTGGACAATTGTACAAACATTGTAATTTTTTCAACCTTGAAATGATCTATAAGTTTTGTTTTAATTTCAAATATGTAAACAAGTAACATCGTTTTCTGCAAACACTTTAGAAATGTAAAAGGTCAGGTCGCGACCTGACGACTTATGTGAAAAAATATTATTGTAGTGCTTTTTACTCTTAACTATCGGAAAAACTTAAAAATAGAACGTATTATACTCTCAATTTTTTATTTTTATATAGAAGGTGGCATAACATTTCTGTCACTAGGCTCATACATAGGTATTTAAATCGTACTTAAGTCTTCCATTCATAACTCGTTAACGATGTAATATTCGAAGATTTATGAATTAATAACCTTGAAATTGTCGGTGCGTAATTAGTTGGCACTCTGTAATTTCAACACTTACTAAATTTGTTACTACGATATTAAAATATATATTTAAAATAAAAGATTGAATTCATAACAATTTATAACAATTTTATTGATTTATTTAATTATGCAGAAATTATCTATCGTGTCGACTGTAGACTATGTACCTAAATATTATTTTATTATAGAATGAATATTATACTTGAACGATATAATATAGATATTCTAGCTTTCCAATGCGCTCGACTTTCAGGAGGTATTTAGGGCATAACTGATAGCAAATTCATCCATTGACGTAACTTTCCCGTTATGGTAATAATTTGTATTTTAATGATTATTATATATTAATATGGAACTATGAACATACTTATCTTTTATTTAATGTTTAAAATGTATATATTTCGTAGGTTTTCCACGTGCCTTATGAAGAAAGGAAACTGGATAACGCCAATACTTTTGGCGAAGGGGAATCGCTAAGGACATGTCAGTCTATTACTAAGGACACCGGCGCTCATATTGAAATATCAACTAGCAAGGATGGAAGTCTTACATTCCTTATCACCGGGAAACATAGTGCTGTCCTAGACGCGAGGCGTTTGATCCTAACGCACTTTCAACAACAGGTCAGTGTGGCATACAAATATTAATAAATTATAAGCAAATATTGTTAAATAATACTTTTTTTTTAAACACATGCTGGGAAACTGGATGTATATGAGAATTTAAAAAAATATGACTTGTTGAAGCATTAATTGTTTAATGTGAAATTTCCCATGATTGAATTAAAGCGAAATAATCAATATGCAACCATAAATATTCAAAATATGTAGTTAGTGTTAAATATAAAAATAATATTAATTATAAAAGTATATATATTTTTCAGGCGAGCAAGCAAATTTCTATTCCCAAGGAGCATCATCGTTGGATTCTTGGAAAGGGGGGTTTGAAATTAAAAGAGTTGGAAAAGATGACGGCTACTAAGATCAGCGTTCCTGGAATTGCAGACAACAGTGAAGTCATTACTATCACCGGAACCAAAGAGGGAATTGAAAAGGCTGAACATGAAATACGTGTGTGTTCTGAGGAACAGGTAAATATATACAAAAATGCTTATTATAAAGTGTATAACAATTTAAATTTAAGTAAAAAATACTCAAACAAACTTGAATATATCATATCAAAGGGCAAATATCTCCCAATACAAAAAAACATATTTAAAAAACATTATTTTTAACAGACAGGATATTTTTATTGTTTATGGTATTGTTATTTTACTTAGAATATCATAATGGCCAATGCCAATGAAATACGAAAAAAAAATTACACATATCCATATAATCATTACGAGGAGTTATCATACCATATTGTGTTATTATATCTATATATGGTTTATACAGGGTGACTGGTGAATTACTATCAATATTTAAGGAGCATACTCGGTACATGATTCTCATTCGAATTATGTAAAAAAAATAGGTACTTAATTTTTGACCAAATTTCCGTATAAATAAATAAAGTGTGTACATGTTCCAAGTGTGCCAAGTGTGGACGCGCGCGGCGGCGTGCTGATACAACAACACGCCGTCGCGCGCGTATGTGTGAGTGTGTGTGTATACCTAATCTGTAGGGTGTTCATACGATGCGTAATTAATTACATAACTTTTGGTTAACTTTACTTAGAAGTTTATTAATATTTATGTTATATTAATTTTTATTTTGTCATATATGATCGTCAAATATCACGTCCTCAAATATCGATAGTAATTCACCAGTCACCCTGTATAAATTAGAAGATTTTATTTTATATATTACTTAATTTCTTCCACAGTCCCGTAAAGCACTGGAGCGTATAGTAGTCCCGAAGATCTATCATCCCTTCATCCAAGGTCCATTCGGTGAAACGGCGGAAGCTTTAAGTTCCGAGACCGGCGCTCGTATACATATTCCACCGGCTTCAACCAAAAGTGACGAAATCGTTATTGCTGGTGAAAAGAACGGTGTGCTGGCAGCTAAGGCGAGGATCGAGCAGATTTATGAGGACATGGTGAGATATATTTCAAGATATATTTTGAATTTGTTACTATTAACAACTGTAAATTCAAAGATTGGTGGAAAAAACTTTACATAAAATACAATTTAATGATAAATTTGCCACTACATGTGTCTTGAATCAATTGATATACAATTAGAATTTCATGATCACAATGCCTACTATATTGGATTTTTGCTTATTAAATAGTTTAAAATTACTGTTTCCAGGCTAAAAAATGTTCAACTGTACGTGTCGAAGTGCCAAAGTCTCAGCACAAATACGTTATTGGATCTCGTGGAACTACCATTCAAGAGATTTTGAAAGAAACTGGTGTTTCTGTGGAAATGCCTCCTCCAGATTCACCCACGGGCACCATTACTTTACACGGACCCCATAACAAGATTGGTCTTGGTATGTAGATTTTTTAAAAATATGTTCTACAAGAATTTATATGTGGTTTATAAATATTTCAATATGATATTTAATTTTTCAGCTCTATCAAAGGTGTGTGAGAAAGCAAACTCAGTGAAAACTGCAACTGTTGATGCACCTACCTGGATTCATAAGTACATAATTGGAAAGAATGGCTCTAATATTAAGAAAATTACTCAGGACTTCTCAAAGGTGAGATAAATCGTTTCGTTTTTTGTTTGTAATATTTTAATGAGTAATATATTCTTTAAATATATTTCGTAAATATCTTGAAAAATAAAAAGAATGTATTTAATAGGTTCACGTAGATATTACACACTCTGAAGATAAAGTGAAAATTGATGGACCTCCAGAGGAAGTTGAACGCGTTCAAGTGGAATTAGATAACTTCGTGAAGAACCTGCTTGCTACACATACATATGTCGAATTGACTGTTGACCCTAAATTCTTTAAGCATATCATTGGCAAAAACGGAAGTAATAGTAAGTAACCATACAATTATAACGTAATTATAACGAATTCAATAGATTTTGGACATATTTTAAATGATAATTTTTATTTCTTTCAGTTAATAGACTGAAGGTTGAGACTCGTGTAGTTATAAATATTATTGAGAGTGAAGGCAACAATGTTATTCGCATCGAAGGCAGCCATCAAGGAGTCGATGACGCTGAAAGAGAACTGCGCGAAATGGTTATGAAGTTAGAGAACGAAAGGACGAAGGAAGTCTTTGTTGACCATAAATATATTAAATCATTAATAGGAGTTAGAGGTGACAGAATAAAGGAAATTCGTGAGAAATTTGACCGAGTACTTATATCATTGCCGGATCAAGGACAAAAGAGGAGTCCCATCAAACTCAGGGGACCACAGGAGGACATAGAAAAATGTGAATCACACCTCCATAAACTGATGAAAGAAATCGCTGAATCATCTTACATACAAGAAGTGCCTATCTTCAAACAATTCCATAAGTTCATCATTGGCAAGGGTGGTGCTAATTTAAGAAAGATAAGAGACGAAACTCAAACACAAATTGACCTGCCTGCTGAAGGAGACGACAGCGATGTTATTACAGTGAGAGGGAAACGTGAAAACGTAGAGGAGGCCGTAAAGAGAATACAACAAATACACAACGAGAAGGCGAACATCGTTACAGAAGAGGTAACGATAGCGCCGAAATATTACAACTCACTGATTGGTGCGGGCGGTAAACTTATACATTCTATTATGGAAGAGTGCGGAGGTGTTCTAATAAAGTTCCCACCAGCTGATAGTGATAGCGACAAGGTTGTGATAAGAGGACCGATCGAGGACGTGGAGAAAGCTAAGCAGCAGTTGTTGGCGCATGCTTCAGAGCGCGAGTTGACGTCGCACACGGCCCACGTGCGAGCTAAACCCGAGCATCATAAGTTCCTCATTGGAAAGAACGGCGCTAACATCAAGAAGATCCGCGAGCAGACTGGCGCGCGTATCATATTCCCTACTGAGAAGGATGAGGACAAAGAAGCCATTTTCATTATTGGTATGTTTTGTTTATCTGTCTGATCATAATTGCTGCAAACAAAATAGGATCCTCGTTTTCAACTGCAAATTGAGGGGATGACATAATTAACACTCTATACCTCTTAACATTTATCCTCGTTATTTTACAAGATAACAATTAATATAAAAATTGTTCTCATTTGAAAGATGTACAAATTTCATGACCTTTGGTTGTTTCTGTTAACATGTCGGTTTGTTGTTTAGCAAGCCGGTTCTTAACTTGTTATACCTATTGGCTATAGGTCTGTTTCCATTGCCAAAAAAAAACGTTAATTTTAATGACATAATTTTTTTAAGGTCGCGAGGCACAAGTGGAGGAGGCACGAAAGCAGCTGGAAGCCGCCGTGGCTGAGATCAGCAATGTGTCGGAAGGTGAGATGTCCGTTGACCCGCGCCACCATCGACACTTCGTGGCCCGACGTGGGGAAGTACTGAGGAGGATCGCCGAGGACTGTGGTGGAGTCCAGATATCATTCCCACGACAGGGAGTCAACAGCGACCGCGTTGTTCTCAAGGGGCCTAAGGAATGCATCGAAGCTGCCAAGAATCGGATCAACGAGATCATTGAGGATCTGGAGGCGAAGGTAACTAGTGTCATTGTCAATTAATAAAGAAATATAAGTTTAATGTTTCATAATATACTAAGGTTATCAAATAAATTACTGCTTAAAAATTTCAATAATGTCACCATCTAGTAGATAAAATTTATACATATCTAATCTCAATATATTTGTTCTTTAAATTTATAAATACGTCTTTTAAATTAATAATGTTTTTCTTAGGTTACGATTGAATGTATCATTCCACAAAGACATCACCGAACGGTGATGGGCGCGCGCGGTGCAAAGGTGAAGGACATCACAGCTGAATTTGATGTTCAAATCAAGTTCCCTGAACGAGACCTCACTGAGGGCGCTGATATTCCATTAAGAAACGAAGAGAACGCTGAACCAGGACAAAATGATATCATCAGAATAACTGGACGGCCGGAGAATTGTGAAGCGGCCAAAAAAGCTCTGCTCGACCAAGTATGACTTTAACAACTTTAATTTAATAACTAACAAGAAAAAAATACTAATTGATTTTTTTGTTCACAAAGGTTCCTATTACGATTGATGTTGAAGTGCCAAATGATCTCCACCGCTTACTCGCTGGTCAAAAGAGGAGGGAATTGATGCAGACCTACGACGTTCACATTCTAATGCCACCGCCTAATGAAGAAGTCTCTGATATTGTGAAGGTAATTAATTACTGTTCCTATTACATATTTTGACTTTGGTAAATTATTTATTTAAGTACATATTTAAGGTTTTACTATTAAAATTAAATTTAAAAAAAATTCAATATCAATTTTTTATACTGTTTTAGGTCACCGGTACCCCTACAAATGTTGAGAAAGCTAAAGTGGCACTTGCTGAGAAGATTGTAGAGATGGAGAAAGAAAAAGAAGATAGGATTCTAAGGTAAGATGATACGATTGTATAACTTGTTTTGTGTTTAAATATTTAGTGACAAAATTTTGACAATTCTTTATTTGTTGAATACCAACAATTCATAATTTTCTATTTATTTATAGATCGTTTGAGCTAAAATTCAAAGTGGACCCTGAATACCACCCTCTTGTTATTGGTAAAGGTGGTTCAGTGATCACTAAGATTCGCACAGACTACGGAGTACAAATAAATCTACCAAAGCGAGGTGAACCCGATGATGATATTATCACCATACAAGGATATGAAGATAAGGCGCATCAAGCCAAAGAAGCCATTATGAATATAGTTCACCAACTTGTAAGTGTAACATTTGAGCTATTATTAATATTAAAGTTATTAAAATGCATAGAAATAAATTATATGTTTTTTTCATAGGATAACCAATATCGTGACGAAGTGGACATCGATCCCCGCGTCCATAGAAGACTGATAGGTCTACGAGGAAAGAACATAAGACGCATCATGGACGAGTACAAAGTTGATATTCGTTTCCCGAAACAAGGAGACGACAGCATCGTTATAATAACCGGCGACGAAGACAACGTTCTCGACGCCAAAGATCACCTCCTCAATCTCGCCGAGGAATACGTAAATATAATATTTATTTCATATATTTTACCATAATACAACAAGATCCGTAATTTTAAATATGTATCACGTTTTCGGTATGTAACAATTGATGCCGTGGTTTGTATTATAGAAATTTTACTAGCTCCTAAAAAATATAAGTCAATTAAAATTATACAAATTAATATTACAGTTGCAAGACGTAGTGGACCGCTACCAGAGGCCGGCCGGTCCATCTCTGGGCGATTTCGGGGATGTTCTGAACACTGAGCCTGCAAATAACGGCGGCGCTGCGGCCGTGCAGCCGTCCGGCGGGTTTGTAGTGAAGGGCGGGCCTTGGGAGCAGCGAGCCCCCGACACAGCCTCTACCCACGAGTTCCCAACGATGCCGGGTGCTCCACGAGCGGCCGCTAACCCCACACCATCCTCCGCGTGGGGCCCGCGCCGCTAATACAACACCTATCACACAAAATCCGCCTTTCTGAAAACACCATATCCACATACTTGAAAACTTTTCAGTTTCAATAAACTTTAAACGAAATCTATCTATATGCATACAACTTTTGTTGCATACCTTACATCACTCACTACGAAGTTCGTAATTTTATTACTTACAGTGGATATTTTGAATATTCCTCGTGATTGGAGTTTGTGATTATTATGCATTATATATAATACATTAAATACATAATACGTGTAGTCACTTCGTAACGGTTTAGGCGTCTATCTGTTATGGGAATGTATACTGGTATTTACCATGATAAAATAAATTCAATTTTACGATTACTCAGTACATTTTAGTATCGTTAATGCCGAATTAAGCCATATGATATATAACGAAAAGTAATTTTTTAGAAATGCCATTGTTTGGTTTGCGTAGAATATTACTTTGATACATTTGCATAATTTTAATATATTCTAGAATGATACGATAAATATACGTTAATATATATATACATATTTAATTGTTTACAATAATGAATTATTTTCAAGCAAGTTAGTTTTAAGGTTTGGAGATTTCGCACATTTTAATATTTTATTTTCGATTGGATAAACGAATGTTATTTTTCTTGTAATTATGCTATCAAATATATTTTTTTGTTCTATTAAACTAAATAAGACTTAGTTGCACCTCCAAGCTTTAAACATAACATAATGAATCTTGAAATGTTACGTTGTACTTATTGCTTGAGAATATTATGCAATAATTTTTTCATAATAATTGTTTTTTTTCTATATTATGTTTTTAAGTGTTGCCTATAACATTAATAAATCATTATTAATAAGACGAGAATGAATATTTTTACAAAGTAATTTGTACATATGTGTTTGAAATATTAATAAAATCTTTTACAGGATTTTTTCATTTTGACCATATACCCTTCCTTATTTAAAAAGATTTCAAAGAATTGGCAACATAATGTTCATCGCTTGAAGTAAAAGAACATTATATTCTATTGCTTATAGCAAAATACATATTTTAATATATTGTTAATCTTGATGTGGCGTAAATAAGCCCCTTACTTAATATTCAACTTAAACCACATTATCTAATTATCGGGAAACCTAGAAAGCCATAATATATAGTTGCTCTAATTATTTCTATTAAAGTGATGCTATTCCAAGCATACTTTTAACTTTTAAGGGTTTACCTCACAGCGGTGAATCAAATGTGAAATGATTACTTCGGAAAAACTAGTGTGAGAGTATGTAATGAAAATGCACCTCCATATCGAAAAGTTAAAAAATATTTTAAGTACATATTTAATTTGAATTCACTACTCTATATAAGTATTGAATTCACTACTTTATATAAGTAAGACAAGAATAATAACGAAAAATAGAAACAAAATCACCTAAACAAAACAAAATTATATAGATTATTATTGGTGATAAGTGATAACAGACTCATCAGTAATTGATCTATTTATGTACCAAAAAAAATACAATGAAATGAAAAGAAATCCGACACATAAAAGATACAAACTCACGATTTAGATATCCGCCAAAAACACTTTTAATAAAGAAAAAAGTAGCTACAGAAATTCTACCTGTGTCGGACGGCCAGGAGAAGGCTGCTATGAGTGCGGCGCTGCGGTGGACTCGGCCCAGCACACCCTCGAGGTGTGCCCGAGATGGGCTGCGCAGCGCCAAGACCTTGTGGCGGCTCTCGGCGGAGTGTACTTGTCGCTCTCGAGTATCGTGGAGAAGGTGCTCGAGAGTGATAGGTCCTGGCTGGCGGTGTCCTCCTTTTGTGAGACGGTCATGTCCGCGAAGGAGGCATCTGAGCGGGAAAGGGAGAGGGCGGTTGATGCTCCCTCCCTCCGCAGGCGACGTACGGGGGTGCGACGGAGGTAATTCCAACGCCTCCAATAGCACCCCTGTATTCCGGGCTGGGGTCGACGTGGTAACCCGGCTGTATTGACCGGCCAGTCGCTGGTGTGCCCTGTCGCTGACAGATCTGGGGTACACCAACATAGCGGCCGATGGCTTTCGCAGTGGTTTTAGTGACTAGGGGCCTGTCGAGGCCGAGCCTCACACATCCCTTCCGGCCCCACCAAGGCCGGTTGGACGGCTCGTAAAAGAGTTTCCCTGCGCCATAAAAAAAAGAGCTACAGAAATTGCGGTATAGGGACGCATATAATAAAAAGGAAAAAAAATGATACATAACCAAGCCCCATATTTTAATACCAAACTTCTGCTATTAGAAAGATTGATTTAAAACCTACATCTAGTCATTGTGTTACACGTAAAACAAACAAAAAACTTTGTTGTAAATAAATTTATTTATAGTTTTTAATTTCCTGTATGCAATCAGTTGTTTTTTGTTAAAGTATATTTTTTCTTTTTAAGTGATGGGTTGATCAAATTTTTCTTAAATATGGTGATAACTCCAAGTTTAATATTTTGAACTCTTAGTTCAGAAGGTTAAAACTACTGAACCGATTTGGATGTATCTTGATATGTAGATTGTTTGAAATTCTAGTTTCCTTATCATGGGAACCTGAACCTTTTGAGAACCATCAAAATCAGAACATAAGTGAAGAAGTTTACCACAAAAAATAATAATTTAAACAGTAGTTAAACAGCCGAATTAAGAAACAATGAGTCTTTTCATACGTAGACTGTCTGAAAAACTCGTTACGCCAATGGTCACATTGAACAGTCGATTGATATAATTAAACGAACGTAAAAATTTTAAAAAGAAAGAGTATAATACCTCAGTCAGAGAGTTATAAATAAATAATAACGCGGTTGGTTACATCTATCATTTCTTGCTGGCATGTGATTTTACGAGTTCTACTGCATAAATGCACTCTTTGAAGCTATAGTATAATAAATTTGCTCTTAATTTTTTTTCTTTTTTGTCCAAGTTAACATAAAGATGAATGCTGAAGGACTTAATTACTTTTGTACTATGAAATCTTATTAATCGATGCATGTTATTTTTGAAATTAATTATCCAGCCACAAATTAAATTCTATGAAAAATATCTTCAAGCAATTTATGTTCTTATTTCAAATTACAACGAATTACACGTTGATTTCACTTTTTTATCTGTGAATATTCTTTATTCTCAATATAAACTATTAACTTAAAATCCGATTTTTTAAAATTACATTGCTGAAATTAATTAAACACTGTTGGTGAATAGCTTTTTCCCTTTTGTATGTTCTTATTACGCAAAGTGTTCACATGAGAACATTATGAAATACATCAAATCAAAAGCATACTACGAAAAAAATAATTTTTAATCTTTGTGCTTACTTCCATCCATGGCAGTTGAAATGATAGCTATCTGGTTTTCTTACAACTTGACAACTGACATTTAACCTCATACCTATAGGTAACGTTGTGATAGTATTGTGCTGTATAAAATCCGAATTAATTTTGTTGATTTTAGGAAACACTCTTACATATATTCTAAAATAAAGAACTGCTATCAACTTCTCTGAAATCTGAATTGAAGAATGTCTTACATTGATGTTAATTATTAGGACTTTTCATTTAATAATTATTTCATAATATGGCTGAAGTTGCCAAGAAAACAATGTTTGTTGATATTTTATTTTTTATATAGCCTTTATAGATATTTTAAAAATGATTGTCTTAACTTAATAAAATTTAAATTTTAGCCATTTGAAGATACCATTTAAATCAAAAGAACAATCAACATTAGTGTCTGAAGTATTAGGTGTGGATAAAGAATTGAAGGGTAGTGACATAAATAAAAAGATTAATATTAACGACGACGGTTTACTCGTGTTGGTATTTTTGCTAATTAATTTTATTAAAGCTCTTTTTATTAATATATTACTACATAAACAAACAACTTTTTTCAGAATTTTTGAAGGAAGTGACTATAAGAAGATTCGAGTGACAGTGAATGCCTTTTTAAAGAATGTGCTGTTAGTTGTTAAAACTATTAATTTATTTGAATAATATATTATTTACAATGCCAGAACACACTCCAGCTCCGACACCAGCACGGTCCTTATATGGATTCTTTATGTATTTGTTCAGTAAAACTGTTTTAGCTATATATTGTATATGGGCAATAACTCCTAATTCTGTTTTACATTATTTTAATATATACTACTATCCTCAGAAGTATTGGGCTACTGCAGTACCTATTCAGTTGTTAGTGGGATTGACTATTTTTGCTTTTATAATCTATCCAAGTTCAAATTTAATGTTAACACTTGCTATTGATGATGTAAACACAATTAAGGATACTGTGGGTAAAGCAAATAAAATTAATAATGAAAATAATGTCAGTGAAACAAGTGATTTTTGTATATGTAGGGATAAAAATAAGTGTATGAAGCTTTCTTATGTAGCTAGTAATAAAGAACTAATTGAAAATACTGTTCCTCAGTTAGAGGATCTGGACATGAGTTATGTTTCCAAAAAATTATATTTATATAATAAAAAACAATAAAATTTGAGTCTGCTTTTCTGTTTCTGCACTTACCCAAGTATATTTTTGACTTATGTCAATACCAAGATAATGATTTCAAATGATGAACAGCTGAACATATATCTCTCTTAAATTCAAGTTTCAACCTGCTATTCTTATAACGAAAACACGAAACACATGCTGAAGCACCCATAAATAATAAACAAAGAAAAAACTAGTCAACAAAAGTTTAACAGCTTGAACAAATAAATGCAATAGGAACTTTCGTAACTTCTCTAGTTCAGTATGTCTTGAAAGTAGGTTATATTGTCCACAGATCCTTGGCACACTAACTTAATTCAACACTTAATATGGGAAATATAAAGTTATTTACGTGTCTGAGGTGATTTTTTAAATGGTATAAGTAATTACAGCTATTTGTATCAATCTATTCTAATCTAGTATATATTATTTTGGTGAAACAACTTTAAAAAACAAGTATGAATATTTTACCGTTAAATGAGTACAGTTGACTTAATTGAAAAAATTACGTTAAATATTATCGATTATATTGATTACAAAAATAGTTTGTTTATTTTATATTTCTAGATTATATGAGATGTCACCCGGGCCTAGGGAATACCTGTTGCACTATTATTGTAATGGGAGCGAGGGTACGTATTTCATAACGTATAATACCTATAGTTCCATAATGACTGCTGCATCTTTAGTATAAGGTTTATTTATGTACTTAAATATTGTCAATCATCACAGTTTAAACACACGAATTGCGTTTATTCGTACCGTACCTAATGTTCTTACATTTATAAACGAAAACTGTTTATATCGTCTATGTTAACCTGATTGTGTAAAACTCATATAAAGGTACTAAAACAATATTATATCTGTCATCATGAAGTATCATCATCATAAACGAAAATAGGGCTAGTTCCTGAAATTACGACTCTATATAAATTTAAAATAAGAATCGAAAATATAATTTGCAATATCTTGAACTGTTGATAACGTTTGAAATAAAGGAACATTTTTTAAAATATAGGTACATAATATCTTCACTGCTAATAACTGAACTTGTTAACTATTTTTTTTAAATCACCACGTTTCGTTCGCTTAAACATTAGTTTTTATTTTGTCAGCACGAATCCTAGTTTTAGCATGTACCTATAGGAAGCTTTGTTGGCACCGGATAAATTGTCCGTTACATATATCGACAGATGCTTGTCTGTTGCAATACCAAACCTCCAAGGTGACTTGGATTTATTGTTTTTGTAACGAGTAGGAAATTTAACATAATAACGATTAAAATCTGGTACAAATTATAATTGTATATTTCTTTAAAATTACATAAAAAAAATGTAAATGTCCTGTATTGTTAAATAAATGGATATGTAGAAGGTATAGTTTCACCTATTTTATGCATTTACTATTACTTAATATTTTGGGGCCTAATAATATAGCATACGATGAATCATAATATCAAATGAGGAAGCTAAGCTGTAAGGTTTAGTGGCTTATCTCTATCTTCTTATCGCTATCTCAGCCAGTACAGTTATAGCTAGGTAGGTAACTGTTTAATTATGTATCCACCTTTTTATAGTAAATTTTACGGTTTTATTTTGTTTCGTCGTACGAGTTTTACGTAACTTTTAATCATGGCTGTATTTGCATACAATTAGAAATTTGCATACATTTGAACTGTATTACCTTGGCAAATGACATGTAAATTACATTTTAATTCTTGTTTTCTTAATTTATTTTCCGTAATAAGTATAAATATTTTTTCAAAAATTCTTAAGTTTATCTTTCTATTACAATATATAGCATATTGTCAATAAAAAAAAACAATTGCAATAAATGATTTTTTTATATTAGGTACTTCTACGTATTCATCAAAAATTCAGTATACTCCATGTATTACGAAATCTAGAAAATTCTGTGACCTATTTAAGAAATTAGTAAAAACATGTTATAAATTATAAATATCCATTTGAGTTTGAAATTGGTATTGCAGTATCGTGTCTGAAAATGACTTTAGAAGATCCGGAATTCTTGCACTTTAGATTTACCTCATTAGACGAAGTAAAGGACATGAAAAAAATATAGAACTACAGTAGGACCTCGATTATCCGGACTAATTATTGTCGGTAGGCATCCGGATAATTGAAAGTCCGGATAATCCAATATATGAAGAAAAACGGACTTTTTGCATATCTATACTAATATTATAAAGCTGAAGAGTTTGTTTGTTTGTTTGAAAGCGCTAATCTCCGAAACTACTGGTTAGAATTGCATAATTCTTTTTGTGTTGGGTAGTCCAGTTATCGAGGAAGGCTGTGGGCTATATAACATTACGCTACGACTAATAGGAACAAAGATATAGTGGTAAATGTGTAAAAAACGGGAGAAATTATTTCATCTTTGAAGCCTTCAGTTGCGTGCGCCGTGAAAACGGTTCAAGACACACAAAAAATATGTATTAAAGAATAATAGCTCTTTTAATGATCTAAAAAACAGTACGCGACAGTATAAATCTATCTTTTAAGATTAACCCACAAAAACCGTTTTTATGGTACCTAATTTGGTCGAAATAATTTGTTTAAGTTGTATCAATATAATAATATTAATCTTTATTCAAATAAACAAATAAATATGTTGTTGGTTAAGAGTACTTCGTTGTGAATTAAAAAAAATATAGGTTTTATCCTGAAAATTCTACGGGAACTCGACCATTCCGAAAAAAACTCGTCGCGATTGGCAGTCCGGATAATCGCGAATTCGGATAACCGAGGTCCGGATAATCGGGGTCCTACTGTAATATTTTTTGCTTTAAATCTAGACGGTAGAATTATAATAACAAATAAAAGTACGTAACGTTATACGTATAGGGTACTAAAACCAATTCTAATTTCGAATTTCACCATCGTTGTTGGTTTTAAATTTTTTTGTCTCCATCTTTCAATCATTGATTACTGACTAAAACATTCGAATTTATAATGTCTATTAAAAAATAATGTTTTCAAAATATGTTTCGTAATACAGATAAAAATGTAAGCTCAGGTGGGCTAACGTAATAATTTTATGCTTTTGTCATCGTAATAACGTAAGTCATATTGTTATTGTAATGTAAACTATTCATACAAAATACATACAGTGTGGTTTTGTTGCAGAAGAGCTACTATTGAATTGAATGTTTGTTCAAACGGCCTGAAAACATGTACATACCAACCATTTAATGGTATGTGTATCAAAAACAAGGTAAATGATAACGTTTATAAATGAATTGGTAAAGTATTTTACTAATATTATTATTTTCATGATTCCTGGATTGGACGATCCAATACGATATAAAAATTAGGACATGGAATTTACACAGGGCAAAAAAAATCATTAAAAAGTAGGTTAACTCGCTGCTCTTACAAATTGTAACGACATAACAAATTTTTTAATGAAAGTATGGCTTGCTAAAAATCTATAAATAGTAAAAACAAAAAGGTCAATCTTCGATCGGATAGTAAGTAGATGTTTAGGCGACTTCATAGAAGGTTGATAAAGGTTTCAAATAAAGGTAATTAATTTTTTAATAATGAAAAAATAATAATTCGAATGTAACTTATGCCATTTGATATTGGGTATGGTCTCGAAAGTTCAAAGTTATTAAATTTTATCTGATATATTAAGATGCTCTTTGATTTAAATAATTTTTGTGTTCCAATATACAGAAAGAACTTTTTATTTATTGAAATCTGTTTTTTATATAACGTTAGATTCAACAACACGAAGTCGTATTTAGTTGCAATTTCTGCGAAAGAGTGGTACTATGGTAATATTTTAGAAATTAATATATAATTATAAAATATTTAACAGGTACACAACATTTATTTCATATTAAATATGTGATAAAATTCCAATTAAGTATATATGATTATTCCTTTTTGTACTAAAGTTTACACATAAGGATAAGAGCACTATAGGAATCACTTATTGAAACTATAATCAAGTAGAGCTCAATGTTAATATATTTTATAAGGATAAAACAACACTTCCCAAGATTAGTACAAAATAAAATTAAATATATGGTTAGTTTTTTACATAGGTAAAATTTATTTAAAAGTACAGAACATATGAAGGACTACACACTGAATTGAGATAAAATACTTAAACTGACTTTGAAAATGCTGTAAGCCACTTTTAGTATTCACAATATATTATGAACTTATTGCATTGATTAATAATTATTTGGCAGACCAAAAGAGATTTTCCAACAGTGCATAGGTTATAAACCTTATTAATATTATAAGTGAAAGTTGGAAAAGAAGCTGTAAGAAAATCTGCAATTAGACTAGCCACTACACCTTATATACCGAAACATTATATGACTAAGAAAAATGTAATAATGTGATGTCCCAGCATACAAGTTTAGCTGCATGCAGGCAACAAGGGGCCGGCATACACCCAAATATAAATTAATTTAAGTATAGTTCATAGATAGTAATTTAATATATTTTGTACAATAAAATACAATTAAGTACAACTTGTAGCAAAGATATTAAAGAGAGTAATATTTATCTCAAGTGTTAAAGCTGCAATAACATGTGTGTACGCACAAGGCATATTTACACAGCACACACGCACGGCAACAGCACACCAGGTGCTGCAGACTATAGTACATAATTAATTTTATTACTTAAATAGAATATAAAGACACGCCCAAGCTGAGAACTCCACCACTTACTTTACATATTTCAATGCATGATTAGCCAATGAACATGCCTGTACTTCACTAGCAGATCGCTATTAAATAATACATTGATCGACGCTTAATATCACAGCTAATTATGCTTTGAAAATTATAGACATGTCTAATTTTCACTAATGTAGATAACAATGTAGAGTATAAGTAGACAATCTGGATAAATTTACATTACAATATCATGTCTTTTCATATGAAAATTTTAAATTACATTACCAAAAAAATAAAACAGTGCAGCGCATTATAAATAAATGTGCATACCTTAATATTTAATTGACTAAATAAATTTGTTGCCTGCAGATCTGATAATTATTTTAAATATCGAGAGGTAATATCTTAAGAGAAATTTAAATTTCAACTATTGAAAAAAAGTTAAATCCAAATTTAAAAATATTTAGTATCTATATAGACATTCTCTTCAAATCCACCTAGTTATTATGACTGTGAAATATCATTCCAAAATGCTGAGTCTCCTTCACACATATTTCACTTTCACTATAATTGTGGGCCAAAGTATGGGGATCGAAGAGAAGTATCAGCTAGCACTTCACGAGTGTGCATTGCTGTTAACATGAGGCTTTTTTTCCTGTGCATCTGGAGTGCGCTGGCCATCTCGGCGTGGTGGCATTCGCTCATTAATGGCATCCAAGCCTTTTGCCTCAGCAAAGGATGTGATCTTATGATTTGGTGAAAAACCTTGCAAGGCATTTTTAAGAGAAGTTTTACCACCTGACAGTGCCCCCAGAGGTAGAGCACCTGTAGGAGTGAGACCCTTCAACTGTAATACAGATTCACTCTCTTCACGGAGAACAGAAAATACATGAGCCATTTTTCCAATAGCACGGATTTTATTACGTATAACTTCTTTCCTGAGATTAGCTTCCTCCAATGCATCATCTCCTTCAGACATCAACTCATCATCAGAACAAATATTCAACACATTTACCAACATTTCTGTCACTTTCTCACCCACAAATGGTAGAGACCAGGTGAAAACATCCATGAAGTTAGGAAGCCAATATGGATGAGGAGAACAGTTGAACTGTCTTATGTTCATGACATTGTTCTCATACTTTAAGACGGCAGCCTTGTTATTATAGACATCAAGATAATTTGGAGCAGAGAAAATGGTGATCAGACTAGGAAAACCAGTGGTCTGGCTCTTGCGATACATACGATAACCAGCATCTTGAGCCTCATGAGCACGAATGATGGACAGTAAGTTGTTCCTCTGTAAGAAGTCACAGCAGGCAGCATAGCTGTAAAAGTATGAACAGCCTCTTACAGAGTTGTGTGAGAAATGTTCAGCATTTTTCTCGTTTCCGAAGTCTTCGAGAGGATCAGACCACAGTAGATCACACATAGCTCCAAATGCAGGAGGTTCTTTTGATCTATCTAATTTACGAATATCATCTAAACTGTTAATTTCAGGCGATAGACCCCCATGTACACATAGGAATTGCTGGTTCATAAGAGCAGCAAGAGGTAAGCAATCGAAGGCATCCATACAAGCATCATACACTTTTTCAGAATACTTAATTTTACATTCTTGTTTGAAAGTAAAATATTCTGTCAAATGTCGGCATTCATGATTGCCGCGTAATAGAAATAATGTCTTCGGATAACACAATTTCAAAGCCCAGAGGTAAAGAACACATTCTATACTAAAATAACCTCGGTCGACATAATCACCTAAGAATAAATACTTGGTGCATGAGGGAGAGCCTCCCACTTCAAATAACTTCATCAAATCGTAAAATTGGCCATGGACGTCTCCGCACACGGTCACCGGTGAATCAATCTCGATCATAGTTTTCTCAGATCGTAATAAGGTGGCACCATCTTGGATGATTCGTAATGCTGCATTTTCTTCGATTCGACCCTCCAAGATAAAATGTTGCTTCAGTACATCTGGCAATGGTTTTCCAGTTTTTTCATCAAATACTTCTGCTACTGTGAGCTTGTGGCTGGGAGGGAAAGCAACACTTTGGATCATACGCTGCGTAGTCGACACTTTATCATTGCTCCCGGACATATTTGTCACATAAAAAACACTAGGTCTAATCCATACACGCCACTATTTTCAAAATGGCAGAATAGATATAATACTAAAACAGAATCCCGATTTCACGACAGAGAAACTACTGCGCACTGGAAAACAATGCGCAAACATCTGGCGAGTGGTCAATAAAATAAACAGGGATATCGAGCGCGTTTTATTACTTTTGAACATATCATTTAGAGAGTAACACTGAAGGTACTGTTGCCAGTACTTTACGTAGGTTATGAAAATTATTTTCTAGATAGCAATGCAAGATAAACACAATATTATTCAAATACTAGAATGATAATTTAAATAATTGTCAAAATCATGTTTTCATGACCAACTAATAAAATATTGACAAGATTGGTTTTTTAATATTAAATATTTTCAGTAAAAAAAGTTGTTACAAATTTACAATTCAATGTAAGTATATAACACATTTCTCATACAAGTATATTATTTACTTGCTTATTTTTTATTGTAAATGTACCTATTTTTATTTTAGGTTTTATTTGATAATTTGATAGTTCGGAGTTATAATTTTAAATATACACATAAAATGTGTTATTATATATAAGTCTTACATTTCTTTACAGTTGAAATAATTCAGATGTGAAATTTAAATTTTTTGAATTAAGTGTTAACGGAGATACCATACTTAAAAGCTTACTATAGACCATATAGTAACTTAAGCATAACAACATCATATGCATATGTTAATAAATAATAAATCGACTATTGTAAGAATATAATAGACTACATAATCCAAATTTTTATTACACGTCACCCAAACCATAGGTATTATTTTTATCGTCAGCGACTATTTATAAACCTAGGGTAATAATTGCTTTGTAGTATGTCGCGGTTAAATTTACTCATTGGTTTTCAGTTACACGCTGTTTGTTTTGGTGTAATTTGATACAAATAATTTCAGCAAATATGTTAATTCGTTAGAAATAGTAAATTGTTGTTAGACATTAACGAAAAGATATTATTTTGAGAAGAAGTTTTTAGAAATATAATAATTATTACTACGGAAAGTAATTCTGGGAGGCCTTTCCTGTATGTGATTTTAATATACGATGTTATTTGGCAACAGCCTGGACTTTGAGGAATATTTAAATCACAACACCGACAAAAAAATTACATTAAAAGTTCAATTTATACCCATTTTTATTACTTTTTCATGTAGGAACTAAAAATAAATTTAAACAATTTTATTATTTATTTACGGACTATAAAATCTAAACCATGAGCAAATTATAACTATTCATCTTTGATGTTTACTTCTGATAAAGTTAATATTAGCAGCACTATAACTTAATTTGTTTAAAAAAAAGAATTATGCTTTTTCAAATATGATTAATGGTGTTAAGCTAATTATAGTTCAGTAACAATCGTATCAGCCGCACTGGACACGAAAATATCCACCTTTCTTTATTTAAATTAAAAAATAGACCTATTACTTAAAGATTAAGTTTATTAATATAGTGATATTAGCTGCAACTATAGGTCTAGTGCTTGCGTTTTTATTAAACAAAATTATTCTTGTTAGAAAAAAAAATAAAAGATTTAAATATATTTAATTAATGTTTCTATTCGTCGTTTTTTAAAACTACATATTTTGTTAAATATGTTGTTCTTTACATATTTTATATTAAAAAAGACGCCTTTAACATAACAGTCTTTTGTTTAACGCACAAAGTTAATTTGTAATAGAATTTGTAATAGATTAATTGGGTTGGTTATTTAAGAATAACATTGTTGATTTTAAATATTTTTTAATAGTTTAAAAATTATAATATTTAACGGAGATCTGTTAATACGGGGTATTAATACTATTTTGTAGTCAGAATTTTACAATAGATTTGAATTGCTTATATTCAGTGATCATTCACTTATTAATTTTGTTTTCACTGACAACCATGACAGTGGTGAAAATGTAAGCTAGTGATGTGGCATATTTAAAAAAATATATTTGTGGGTACAGATCCGAAAACAGATATTTTGTGACAAAATTCGCCTGCAAAATTACATTCGTTTCCATCCATTTTTTTGTTTTTCTTATGTGATCGATTCTTATCTCTGCCTTATCTACATGGTTTAAGCTTTTTCTATTATTTTTAATCTTCGATGTTTACGATTTGGCAATTGATCAGCAAATATCAATGATCATGTTTTCTTTCTTTCTAGTGTTGTGAGTAGTTTATAAGATCTGTGTAAAAGTCTGTGTAGTAAACTCACAGTTACTATAGTGACAAAACGGTATTAGTTTATGTAGTAGTTTTTCTTATTAGATACGTGCCAAATGATTTTTTTCCATATTTTTTTTTAACTAGTGCTTCTAATAAGTAAAAATATTAGAAGGTTTTTGGGTTGATGATAGTGGGGCTTATCATTTTGTTTCTCCTTCGCAGTTAATTGCTGATAGCCAAAAAAGATATACTATAATTAAATTATATAATCCGAAAATATCCACTTTCAAAATATAATTACATAAAAGAGAGCGTGACTTTTTTTTCAATTTGACAGCTTTCTAGGCCGAGACGTAGGGACGTAATAAGTAGGTTGACCTGACTTGCGCACAACCGCATTTACCACCACATGAAAACTCATGGGAATCTTGGTTCTTTATTTTTATTAACCCTTTTATTTATTTTTGAAATCTTTAACTTTTCACTTCTCTAAATTTAATATAAATAAGGATCTATAAGAAATAAACATCTTGGTGATTCTTAAAAAAAATTGCATTTAAATTACTTACTTAATAAAATGTTGTTTCTACTGATGGTAGGTTTAAGGATTTTTTATTTTAAAGTCTATTATTTAAGCCAAATACAACCGTTACACCTCAAGGTAAATGATCAATTTTCAGTTTTGATTTAAATTGTATTTACTTTCTTAAGACCTGATCATTACTCAGTTATATCTGAAATCAGTATCAGAAATTATCAGCAATGCTCATTGTCAACTAATAAGCCGGCTAGTGATCTGGATGAAACTTCTATTTATAGAATCCGAAGACCCTGAGAGCACCTTGGAGCAGGTCTTCCTTGCGTCATGCAGTAATATACCAATCATCATAAATTCCTTACCATTATATTTAAATTATTATACTTTGATGTATTTTCGAACATTAAAAAAGAAAGTATTTTTAATAAGAGACGAGACGAAACCTCTCAAGTCTCAGCATTCAATGGATTCACCGTGCGGGTGCCGTGTCCATGGGTGGCAGGGAGAGGAGCTTCAAGCTGGGACTTAGGAACCAGCTGTAGGTTTAACGCATTCGTTATTATTCACAGTAAACTAATGAAAACAATAACGTCAAGTGAAATATTATTTTCCTGTGCATTTTTTTTAAATTATTTTATCACAATAATGTGTGCGTTAAAGAGATCTCCACTGCAGCCCTTATCGTTAAGAACTGAAATAGATACAGAGTAGAATAATTATTTTTTCGAGTTTATAATCAAATTTAACATAGGTACTTACCCAATAAGTGGCTGGGCTTTTTAAAGACTTATATACATACTAGCTTTTGCCACGATTTCGTCCACGTGGAATAGTGACTTCCGGCAGATTTTTGGTTCTTCCCACATAGTTCCCGTTGTTGTGGGCTTTTCGGAATGGTCCAGTTTCCGTAAAATTTTTGGGTTAAAACCTATGTTTTTTTTAATTCACAATGAAGTACTCTTAACCAACAACATATTTATTTGTTTATTTGAATAAAGATTAATATTATTATGTTGATACAACTTAAACAAATTATTTCGTCCAAATTGGGTACCATAAAAACGGTTTTTGTGAGTTAATCTTAAAAGATAGACATTTACTGTTGCGGACTGTTTTTTTAGATCATTAAAAGAGCTATTATTCTTTCATACATATTTTTTGTGTATCTTGAACCGTTTTCACGGCGCACGCAACGGAAGGCTTCAAAGATGAAATAATTTTCTCCCGTTTCTTACACATTTACCACTATATCTTTGCTCCTATTGGTCGTAGCGTGATGTTATATAGCCCACCCAGTCCAGTTATCGAGGAAGCCCACCCAGCCTTCCTCGATAACTGGACTATCCAACACAAAAAGAATTATTCAATTCGAACCAGTAGTTTCGGAGATTAGCGCTTTCAAACAAACAAACAAACTCTTCAGCTTTATAATATTAGTATAGATTATTTTATTTTCCACAATTTCGGTTTTGGGATGTGTCTTTAGGACATTTATTAACAATTTATAAAACTTAAGTAGATATTTTGTAAAAAAATAATAATATATAATGTTTTTAATATTTTTCACAAGTAGGCATTAAAGTAAAAATCTGTTTGGATTATTTTTAGGAAACCGGATTATTTTTAAATTACTTTACGGTAAACTTTTAAACGTGAACGTAACGATTCTTGGGGGAAGCCTATGTCCCGCAGTGGACGTGTTTCGGCTGAAATGATGATGATGATGAAACTTTTAACAGATAGACAAATAAGAACTGCCTTGTGTCATAATTATCATCAAATTTAGTGTAAATTTACCCTAATTAAATCCAAAAATATAGTTATGGGATACCCACAATGGGTACAGTTACATGCATTTTGATCATTGACTTACTAGGTTCATGATTTTGTCCCTTAATAAATAAAAATATGGGTTTCATAGGTTTGTGAATTTAAAAATGTCATAGATGTAAAAAAGCTAATAAAAAAGAGCTAAAAAGATTTTTCACCACCCTATTTATTCATAACAAATATCTACTTAGTTACTATTGTCGTTAATGATTCAGTTGGAATAAGTATCCAATGCAGACCTGATCCGATTAGAATGTGTTTGCATAAATTATTATTTTAAAGGTAAAATAAATTCTACCTTCCATAGCTTAGTTTCTAAAGACATATCTGTAACGAACTCCTTATTTTTATACTATAAGATTGTTCAAAGCATTAAATACTTCTCAAGGCCTAAAAACAAAAAATATGTATTGCTCCTGTCTCTTTTCTATACTAGAAAGTCTTCAAATATTATAATGATTTAATTTCAAATTTATTATAAGTAAATACATCATATCGGTTTTGTCGTTGAAGTAAGCAGTGCCCTGTAGCAAATACTTTAGAAACACTTTCGATCAATTATAGATTATAAACAACTCGAAGTAGATGATATTCTCACTGTAAAGTGGATTAGTTATGAAATTCACACTTATGTGACAACAATCATATTTATTTTGTATAATATGTATTAATAAGTTTATATTCTAAAGTGTTAAATGAAAATTTCAGCAAAGATTTCGGTTAACGGTTTTATATGAATGTGCAGAACCAATGGTTTTCATTCTATAGTTAATTTGGCCCACAGATGTTATAATATCAAATACTTCATAATTTTAGCAAAATTATTATCAATAGTAACAATTTCATTTATAAGCGCTATATTCCATTTATAAGCGGATTGATTTTGCTACATTATTAATTGAACCTTTGTTTCCACTTCCGTTGCTAGTTTTGAAATTATAAAATTATAAGTTGATTTAAATTTAAAACCAAATTCTGCATATGTTGCTGACAGCTCCATGTGCAGTGTTCTAAAAAAATATTCTATATAGCTGTATAAATTATCACCAAAATAATTACCAGCCCATCAAACTTAAAAATTATATTGTCACAAACTTACTGGTAATGCAATTTTAAAGACAAAAAATTACAGCAATAAATCTCAGAATTCGGATAGGTATTATTATACTTCATTTTAAATTGTTCCAATATGGTTCTTAATAAATAATTTGATTTTTTCTGATTTTTACTACTCTTATCATCATATATTTAAAATCTAAATAAGGACATTTTTTTATAAACAACTTTATACAGTATATCAATATTATTATTAGCATAAAAAAAGTTTTGCCATATAATCTCACTGTACAACTACTTATATTCTTTGGTCAAGAATCCTTAGCTGTAAAATTAAAGAAAATAAATAAAATAAAAACTTCATTAAATAATAAACTTTGTGTATTTGAAAAATACTTCAGCTCCAACGCCTCTTCAATAAGTAGTTCCGTTTGGTAAACATTGTTCAAGCAATTTAAATTTACACAAAATATAACAATTTTCCAATAAACTTTATTAATTACATATAAATTGGTCTGAACAAAATTATATTAAAGTAAAGTAATAAATTAAAAAAAAAAACATTACAATAAGAACTGTATTTCTAAAATCATATTCATACAACAGTTTTATATTACTTAGATATTTCATAATGTTAATATTGCTATGTGTATCATTCAAACACCATCAGTTTACAGTCACAGATGAATCCACTGTTCTGTATTTCGGTTTGTTGTGAGTGAATGGTAGGTAGCGGTATTTAATCATATGCTGAAAACAAAAACAGGTTTAATGTAATTATCAAGCTGCAATACTAATTTGAATATTGAAACTCCTTTGAAGATATAAATTATAAATGTTTAATTTGGTACTCCTTCATATAAAAATAGTGAGTGTAGATAATTAAAAAATATGATAAATCAACCGTTTGCTTATTTAGTTTCTTATCTGTATAACAAAACAGATTTAGTCACAAACTATTGACATTATGATTTTGTGACCTATATACAGGGTGACTGGTGAATTACTATCGATATTTGAGGACGTGATATTTGACGATCATATATGACAAAATAAAAATTAATATAACATGAATATTAATAAACTTCTAAGTAAAGTTAACCAAAAGTTATGTAATTAATTACGCATCGTATGAACACCCTACAGATTAGGTATACACTCACACATACGCGTGTCGCGACGTGGTGTTGTATCAGTAACACTTGGAACACTTGGAACGTGTCAACACTTTACTTATTTATACGGAAATTTTGTCAAAAATTAAGTGCCTATTTTTTTTACATAATTCGAATGAGAATCATGTACCGAGTATTCTCCTTAAATATTGATAGTAATTCACCAGTCACCCTGTATATAGGAACAACATTCCTTATGGAAATTTAATAAAAACAATGAACTAATTGTGTGCTTTCAACCTACACTCAAAGTGATATTTTTTTAACATTTTATCTAAAAATATTAAAAAAATTATAAATAATTAATTTTTTCTAAATGTTTGTATGCTGATATGGTTCATTAACTTAACAAACACTGGTTAAAAAATAAATAGATGAAAAAACTTTGATAACTAAATATATGTTCAATTATCTATAAGGTCAACAGAGCAAACTTTAATCATTTTCCGGTTTTGATTAGAATCCTATTGTAATATTTATTCATTATAAAACGAATTAAAAAAAAATGCATATATGTATTTTCATTATAAAAATTAGGCTTACCTTAATTTGTCTCTTCATGGTTAAGCAGAATAAAGTGATGAAATACATTACTAGTATAGGCCAAAATACAGGTATATTAAAGGCATCAATAAATGTACAGCAAAAGCCTATTAATGTGCTTTTGGTAACGGATAACCAAAATTTGAATTCCGGCAGTCTCCTTATGAATGGTCTAAATTCTTCAGATGCTCTTGTCGGCAGAGCTGGACCATTTTCGTCTTCTGCTGTAATTTTGAAAGGTGTGGCATTGTAATTCTTTGTTGCATAAGTTTGTACTTAATTAATATTATGACAAAGACTAAGTATAAAATAAGTATAAAATTATACTTTTTTAATACAGCAATCAATTGATTTTGTGGTGTTGATATTTAAATGTCTATATATGTATATACTTTTATATCTCTTATAAAAAAATCATTGTATATATAACACTAGCTTTCCGCCCGCAGCTTCGCCCGCGTGGAGTTCGGTTATATCGCGTTTCCAAGAGAACTTTTCAAAAGTCTGGGATAAAAACTATCCTATGTTCTCAAGGTCAACTCTGTCTCTGTACCAAATTTCATTAAAATCAGCTCAGTGGTTTAGGCGTGAAAGTATAACAGACAGACAGAGTTACTTTGGCATATATAATATTAGTAGGGATTCTTTAGCTTTTATTTACTTTAATATTATATGTACATTAGTTGTGGAAAAATATCACAAATTTGTTTGTGGCCAAATATAATAGATTTAAATAATGTAAAACTTACCATCAAAGTCCATAGCAGGATCAATTTTTGGTGTGAGGAATGCAATAAACAGATTTAAGTGATATATTCCTAATGCATAAGTGACTATATACCAGCCCTGGAAAATAAAATTAAATAATTAAAATCAAAATTATCTGCAGAATATCAATCCACTAAAATTCTATTTCTTATTACACAAAGTTTAAGACATTTTACATTATTCTTACATAATGTAATAATGAAAGTTGCTTTTTCACTAATTATCAAACTGGATTCAATTTAAATACAGTATTTCTTATTAAGTTTTTAAAACAAGTTAAAAAGTAAGGTTAAAAAGTAAAGTAAAAAAGTAAGGTCAAGCAAAGATTTAGGTATTTTTTATAAATATAAGTAATAAAATTAGTAAATAGGTTTAAAAGTTTGTACTATTTATGGAGACATAATGATGTATGCTGAAAGAATATTGTTATAAGACAGAGAGAAAATCTCTCAGCATTCCATGGATTCACCATGGGTGCCGGGTCTTATATTTTAATAGCCCAAACACAAATTTGTTTTTTTTATTATCTGCTTTTTGTATTTAATACAAAACACACTCAGAAACACCTTCTGAATTTAGAATAATAATATTGTTTGATTATTTCTATACTCACTTGTTTTAAAAATATTCGCAAGATAAATATCATTAGAAGAAGAAAAGATGCCACCCATCTACTTTTAGTGTGTGGCGTCCATTTGTCTAGAAGACCTTGATAAATCTGTAAATATATACAATATTGATATTTACTTTCATATTTGTACCATGCAAAAACTAGTTCTATTATTATTTATAAATGAATTGGTAGTCATTTGTGTAATGTATGATTGGCAGTTAACATAATTGTTATACATTTTGACTTTCAGAGTCCTAATGCCATATTTAATCAAGGCCTAATCAAAAGTTAATAACGATGGATTTGTGGTTAAAACAACAAAAAAACTTGACGATATATAATAATAACTAAATACAGATTCGATTCAAGTATGATATCTGTTTGGACATCGTAAATCTAAGAAACATCAATTCTAATTAAGGAACCTTAGTAGTTTTACGAATAGCATTCGGAATTTCTTAATACCTGTGACAATCGGGTCCATGCCTGAGATATAACACCTTTTCTGTTGGTTTCCGAGGCTATATCATTTCCGTCCATCATTTTTGGTACTTGTGTTCTATTTTACTGTTTAACTTAGACACATGAACTATTAAGTATGTTAAATACTAATTAATAATAGCGTAATGGTAAATAATTATATCTTTTATACACTATTCATCATTTTTATACGTTAATAAAATCTTGTCAAGATTTAATATCAATCATCAGACCGCAAACGTCAACACTTAAATGTTGCTAGAAAAAAAAGTATTACGTGTACATAATGTTTGCTACTGAAACAAATTTTACGTTAAGACCTCCAACAGTTTAGGTCCACTCAAAATATAATAATACAAGTTGCCTATCAGAGGATATCTAAATTAAAGATGATTGATATTTTTTTTTAATAAATTACTTGCATTTTATATTCATGTTCTTAAAATTTTTATATCAGTTTAACATTTGAGATAATATTAACCACTTTAAAATCACAATTTAAAAAAAATCCATAAGATTTATAGTTTAAACGACTGTCATTGTTACTATTGTGAATATTACTTAATAATTAAACTCAAACCTGATTTCATTATTTCGACACTGACTAATTATTATGGATTCATTTGCCATTAGATTAAACAAAACAGCTAAATAGTTACAGCATTTCCTTACTACTTTACCAAAACTGTCCAATGAAAAGGTTGAATATCTTAAATTACTTAACATTCTTATAAGATATTTTTGGGATTGAATTAGATACCTTCAAAAGACGTAACACTTAAGCGTCAATTTTTCCTGATTTTGATTTTAAATAATTCACAGATAATTAAATTCCCCACTGATATGAATATTTGACACATAAAAATATAAAAACACCTTTTCTTGATGAGTATTAGTAGAAAATCTGTTTAATTTTTCTTTTGCTTATTGTATTGTTTTTGCCTGCGGATATTATTAAAACAACAATTCTGCTTAGGAAATTTAATGAAATAATTGTTCTAGTTACATTTTATACAATTATTTTACAATGACATTATATAATAGATATTGGGTAGTTTTCTTGAAGAATACACTACATATTATTGGGATTTCACCTATAAATTACATCAAATTGAATTATAAGATGTTTTGTCCTTAACTAGAATTATTCCTATTATTGCAAGGATTTATTTACATATTTTTCTTATTGAATATTTAATAAAACATAATTAAAATTCATATAACTAGTTACTTTATTTGAATATAAAGGAAATTTTGGTCCAGCTATGTCCTATGCTAAGCACAACTTCTAAGAGGAGTAAGATGATATTGCTGTCAAGAATACAATTACAAATTGAAACAGGGTTTAAACTAATATATACTCGTTAATTGTTATATTGACTTACTTCTTTTACCTACAGGCTCTACAAGTGTTTACACTTGGTATTATAATTTCGCCTTCAAAATTCATATCAATAGTAATTTAAGTTATGTGTAAAAGTTAATAATTTTTTATACAACAAATCAGCTGATGTTAATCGCATAGTTACATTATAAGCTTAGGTTCCTAAAGTTTTTAACCTAAAATTTTCAAAAATATCATTTAAGGCAAAACACATTATGTAGTTTACATACTAAACAACAAATTATTGTTTAAATTGCTTCTTTTCTACTTATTTTATATTTTTAAAGTATGTAATGATACTCACTAAATGCTATTTAATACACTAATTGATAGATAGGAATAACTTGTACATTGCAATAAAACAAGTGAAAATTATAAACAACTTTTTACATTACAAAAAGTACACAGTATAATTAAATATAACATCTCACATCAAGTAAAGCAACATAATATAATTTGTTAAAAAAAAACCGTATGTAACCATGATCATGAATACCGAGAGATTATTACAAGTTTTAAAGAATACAAGTGTAATTAACAAATATTTTCTTATGCTGTTGTTGATTCGGACATTGGTTTTAATTAACAAGGCACTCATATTTTTGTGCAATAAATATTGCTAATATCTATCAGAAAATACAGTATTTTATGTAATATATTGTAATTCATCTCCCCGATCATGATCTGAGTTTGATTGTCATGTTATTTTTAATTAATAAATAACCCTAACAATACAAATTATTTTAACAATGAAAATTAATTATCCATAATTCAAATGTTGATATGTATTATGTTAAATTTACTTCACAGCTGAAAAATTTTGAATCTGATTGTTGGTATTTGATGCTACCCATGAGCTGAAGACATCCCTGGAAAGAAGAAATTGTTTAAAATTGCAAAATAATGAGATATATAAATTATTATTTTATATATATAGATGTAAAAAATATTTTTTATTACCTGCAGTGACTAACAACACATTCATTAGAACAATATTCATCTTCCCACTCGCTATTCGGGATGGCAGGATTGGTACAGCCTTGGCGTATACATGATGGAGTACTTCTATTTTCAGTTTGCTGCAATCAACATTTATTTTATTTACAATAAGTTCATATTCCTTATTATTAAGAATAAGAAGTATTAATGCTCAGTTTAAACAATTTTAGATATTTTATTTTCTTTTATAAAGAGGTTAATTGTTTACCTCAGGGGACTGATGAGGTACACCTGTTCCATTGTTGTTAGGCGACTGCTGTTCATTTTTTATAATTGGTGCTTGTGGTGGCAATGGTGGAGGTGGTATTTGTTGTGGTGTTTGTTGTTGATGTTGTTGCTGCTGCTGGTGCTGTTGCTGCTGATGCTGTTGCTGCTGCTGATGTTGCTGCTGGTGTTGTTGCTGCTGCTGCTGATGTTGCATAGCTTGTTGCTGACTTTGCTGATGTATTTGTTGTTGCTGTTGGTATTGGACTTGATGTACTTGCTGCATCTAAAAAGAGTTTTTAATTTTAATATTTACATATGAAAAGCGTTTTTAAAAATTATATAACTTTCTATTTACTTGTTGGGAGTGATGATACTGCATAGCAGGATGGACTTGTTGCACAGGTGGCGATTGTGGTTGAACTTGTCTGTAGCCTGGCGGTGACAGGGCGTTATTGGCTCCATAGTTAGGAGACTGAGCCGGCTGATAGTTTCTTGGTGATTGAGCAATGTTAGGTTGACATACTTGAGACGAAGATGTTGTATTCACTTGGTAACCTTGAGGTGGTTGTCCTGGTACATTCTGACATAAAAAAAAACAATATTGTTATTTAGTATAAAATTTTTATCAATACATATTTAGAATATCACTTACTTGATATGTTTGGGGATTATGTCCCATGTTTCCTTGATAATTTTGTGATGGTGCTTGAGGATTTGTTGGGTATCCTTGGGGTCCATTACCACCATATGGAGGTTGGGGCTGTCCTCCGGGAAAGTTCTGTGGTGTGTAGCCTTGTGGTGTCGAGTTTGGTGCATAGCCCTGTGGTGGATGACCGTTGCCATAGGCTTGACCTTGATAATAATTCCCATAATTTGCATTTGTGTTGTTGTGATTATACATGACTTGATTTTCTTGCTCTCCGCCCTAATTAACAAAGTGACAAACATACATCATTTAATTATATTAATATTGTTAATGGCACTCATAACAATATATTTTTTTTTGTATAAACGGTAGATGTATTGTGTGTTATAATAGCAATTACTTGAAGTATGTGACAAAAAAAAATATATGCTGAAAAACACTTTGTTCAAATCTTTATGTTTCTTAAACTTATTGTTAGTACAAGAGGATGGAATAGTGCTGGATAACATTTTAAATAATTTAGTATTTACGACAACGACAATCTATTTACACAAGAGTATATTTATAAAAATATTTTACCTTCAAATTAATTGCACCTCTATTAATTGTAATATACAGTCTAATTGTAAACTATCTAAATTTATTTCATTAATACGATAACATATATCAAATTTAATTATCTAATTCTTTACAATATTATATTCTTACAGCAACAGGTGCTGGAAATTGCTTAAAGACAAAATATGTCTCTGTCAATAAAGCTCTCAAAAGCTTACCGTGCAACGAAGCGATGTTGTAGAAGTGTGTGCCTTAACGTTAATTAGAGGTTTTTTTAAACACGTGTCGCAATAATTCACTCCAGTATTATTAAAAGTGACGATTATATATAAATTTCATTAATATCTTTACATGTATTCGTACAAAAGTGTAGCCGATCGATACCAGACGTCACAATGCGAGGGGCGCGCAAGGCAAACTGCGCGAACCGGCGCGAATACAGGCGCAGTCGGCACATCGCGCAGTCATTGACTTTAAATATTGATGCGTTCACACTCGTCTGTTTTTATGTAGACAGCATTTTGCAAATTGTAATAAATAAAAAAACTTTAAATTTTAAATAATAAAAACTTTAGAAATGTAACTAGTTTTTTTTAATAGTATTTATATATATTTTTTTAAATAAAAAGTTTTGAAAGATTGAAGCTATGGTTGTAGTATGAAATTAAAGTATTTTATTTTACATGTTGATTAAAATTACAGTACATATATTTATATATATTATATACAATAATAATAGTATTATTGCAATATATGTACATCTACCAAAAGATGTGTAGTCCCTTTTTTTAATTTTTTTATGGTTGTAAATTTAATTAACAAAATAATTAAAGTAAATATTAATAATGTTCCTTCACCTTTATATGTTAATGAAAATATATTTCCTATTTGAGCTAAGTCAGAAACAGAAAAATTTAAAATAATTCCATGAAGCAGTGTTGGCATGCAAATATTAATTATAACAACAATTAATAACATATTCCTTACTCAATATTGTTTGAAAATTAAGAATGAAATGAATTTTTATTAATTTGATGTATAATGTGAGGGTATAATAATTTTTTTGTGAAAGAACTTACCTTGGACACCAAACTAGCCCGATATGCTGCTAATGCTTTTAAATATTCTTTCTTTGCCACTTCTGTTTTTTGTTTATATACCTAAAATATAAAAATTCGTCAATATTTTGCTTGAACAATAGTTTTTTTATACAAATATCTTGTTTATATCAATGATGTAACATCTTACGCTTTTGTGTTCCGAATCAAGGCCATCCCACATAGATGCAACAATTTTTGACACCTCTCCAAAACTGGCATTAGGGTTTTGACCTTTAATGGCAGCTTGAGTGTCTCGAAAAAATAGAGCATAGGCAGATACAGGTCTAAAACAAATAATATTTTAATATTTGGCAGGCAATAATATAATAAATTTACTTTTTTTACACACTTACTTCTGGGGTTCATTAGGATCTCTTTTTTTCTTTTTCTTCTGAACCTTAGGCTTCTTTTGCATCTGCCCCCTACTCATTCCATTATCCATCGGCTCTGGTGACGACCTCTTTACACCCATATTACTTACACCAATCTATGTAAAAAAACATTATAGACATTATTGTAGCTAAAATGTTGCTGTAATTGCTTGTCCATTGGCAATACAAATCTACTTTATAAAGAATATCTATAAACTAAGTTATGATATGGAAATTGCCTATACCTGATGAAGCGTAGTTTGTTGCTGCCGGCTCGCTGAGCAATAATGGATAGGCAGAAGGCTTTCCGCATCACCAGGCAACTACCAACAAACAACGGTTTTATTAGAATTTTTATGGTTAATTTAATAAAATGACACTACAGATTATGAAGAAATGTATATGCCAATGAACTTATTAAAACAAAGGTATGGATTTAAATGAACACTAACTAAATATTGTAAAAGCAACAAGGTGTTTTTAGAATTCAGTACATATGACACATCTTAAAACTGTTGTATGTTACTTAGTCTAGTATTGTCACCGACAAAACTTAAATGTATTAGCTTATTGAAATTACACTATAAAATTATTGAATATCATACTTCATTTAATATTAATTATGTCATATATGAATTGTTATTATTAACATGCAATACTAAGCACTATGAAATATTTAAGATAAAATGGTAACTATAAGGAGAGAAATCATTTTTATTTGTTAAACCGAAGTGAATAAGTGATGGTGGTTTGTTACCTGGGAATGTTGAGAAGGCACACTATCATCAGAATCATCGCTGGTTGTTCCAGGCGGAGATGCTCTCTGTGGCGATCCATAGACAGGGGCAGCCTGTGTCGGGGTGCTAGGAGTGGGTGGGCCACTCATTACTTGGCTCGGTTGCAGCATTAATAATTGCTGGCCTCCAGGTTGCTGCTGGATCATATAATTGCCAGCTGGTGCGGTTGCACTGCTAGAAAAATTCGCTTAGTATTAAAAATAAGTTATGGAGATTGATAAAACTAATTCAACCAAAATAAAATAGGGATAGTCGAAAACATCCTTTGTCATTATGTTATCAGTTCAAACTATAAGATATCCCTGACCTATAAAAATTTTAAACACGGATATATTTATAGACTTACTTTCTTACTTTACTTACTTTCAATATTTAACAATCAATTTCACGATCTGTGTAACAAAATCAAACTCGACGTTTTAAGCTTCGGAGCTCTACGAATTATTGTTACCTGTGAGATGTGACTGGTGTATGGGGTTCTTGTAAGTATAAAGGCTGTTGATATGAAGGTGCGCCTCCTGGAGGAGCTAGACCGTCTTGAGCTGGATTCATCATGCCAACCTTATGTATAAAAATAAACAAAACTCTTTACACCAAATACATGACATAAAATTGCAATTATTAGATTGTAGTATAACTTTAAGGCACTATATAAGCTCAAAATACAATTATCCCATAAGTCTTAATAAGTTATAAGTTAGTAAAGTTTTGACAAGTTTTCGGTTGTACTTTGCAGTGACATTGACAGTACATACATTTTGACAATCACAATAATTGACTTGCTGTAAGATGTGTAATACTAGTGATTACACAAACATGTGCACACAATCTATTTCATGTGTGATAAGATGATTCACTGGAGAAGATTTTACCAACTTTTCATAGTGGTACGAGAAAATTTCATGAAGTTTTGAAAGAAAGTCTGCAAAGATTTATTGATTATTAAGAAGTCTTTGATATAATGCTTTGGACTATGTGTATTTTCTACTCTGGAACGTATTCATATTATTTTCAGTTTGTTTTGCATGTCGAATGGTAGTAAATATACGTTTGTCAAATAAGGCTATTGAAGTCAAATAGACAGTTTTTAAATGGTCGCATCCATAGCTTTCATAATGGAATTAAATTTGTATGAAATCGTTTTTGAAAGTAAAAAATAGATTTATAATCCATTGGAATGTAGTAAATGGACTTTGGATGAGTTAAGTACCAAATATGAAATATTTAGGGCGATACATTATTGCATCTATTTTAGAATAGCTGTAAGAGTGATCAAAAATAACTACGAAACCAACGCCTACTTAACGGAATTCATTCAAAGGCAATTTCATTTCAATAAAACCAATCTAAAAAGTAGGGCAGATGAACTAGAACATTTCGTAAAAGTAACTACAGCAAGAAAAGTTTTATAACAAGTAATATGTTTTATTTATTGTATTGGTCAATATAATATTACAACTGGCTGTAATAGAAAATAAACAAACTGGTCTATAAGAGAAATACGATTATACTGAACGTCAATATTTCGTACACATTTTGCACAATATTTTGTGTCTGAAATTATAGAATTGATAACCTATACAAACTATTTATTCTGTCTAAATACATACACAGATATTAATATCACAGATCTTAACCTAGTTTTGATAATGATAGTGAAAAATTTTTTTTATTGATTGGTTTATGATTTTTAAGAATGAGGCTATGTTTACTTACTTAAATTCCGATTTTTATATTTTTAACTATATCTTAAAAATATTGTGCTCAAAATAAAGAAATAATTTTGTCGTATGAAAATAAAAAAAGAGGTTGCATGTTTTTGCGCTTGTTTATTTGACGTGAAGACGGCCACCTAAACCTTTTACCAAATTATAATTCCATAATACTAATTATACCTATTTACAAGAAAAGGAAAATCTTGTCGTAGATACCAGATATGTAAGTACCTATTGTATAACTTACCAAATTAGGACAAAATTTTCTTATATGGACTTAGGAGCCATTACAACTGTCTATTTATAAAGTTTTTAATGCATTTAAAAATAAATAACAAAATATGCCAATAAATTATGTAAGTTTTATTATAGATAATCTAATGCGATAGGCTTTTGTTAAAGAGATATGTTGATTTATAGATTTTTTTGGAAAAGGATAAAATTTATACCTGAGGAGCAGAATGATGTAGTTGTGAATATTGCATATGTGTGTTCTGTCCACTGGCAGCATGCTGGCCGTGGATCAGAGGAATGTCAAACTCTTCGTCTCCGAAAGATGGCGTGTGAAAAGTCTGCAAAAGAATTAAATCATTAATTATGAGATACTTATATTTTAATAATGGATCGATTTATTTTGTACATTTGAATATCAATTTTAAACATAACTTTGTTGAAAAATCTAAACCCATTGTGTTAGGGTTCATGCAAACTTCATGTTAAGTACAATTTTGTATCTATCACATTTTCGTTTGACATCTAATGTTTTCTGTGTTAATTATCTGTGTTTACTGTCACTTTGTGAACTCTGAATAAGGATATTATTTAATAGTAATTACATACTGAATATTAAGTACTTCAAATCGTCTTTGACGATCTCGATTTACTTCCAACATAACTTTATTTAAAAGAAAGGATATTTTTTTTAATAATATACTTCTGCCTTTAACATGTATGATCTTATTGCCATTTAGAAATAATACCTGCTTAATGTTAAATATTTTTATTTTTGTTTTTTGAAAGTGCGATGTTTTAATGACTATTTAACGGATTTGACACTTCGTCATTTAAGTGTTCATAAAAGCTCAACTTTTTTATTTTTATAATATATTTTATCCTTATCCAATTTATGTCAATATACTAGGAAAGAGATCAAAGCGAAGGTTTAATAATAGTTCCTTTTGGATCAGGCGTATCGGAGTACAAAATATTAAATCAAATTTCGTGTCTTTATTTTGTAAATTCGTTTCTAAGATCAAATTAAAATAAATAGGTATAAGTTATAAATTGAAATATAGTATCGGATATGTGATAACATTTAATTATTTTGGAAATCAATGAAATAAACCTAATGAGACAATTTCCTAACTCTGTTAAACCTTTCGGTTGTATATTACTGTTATTTCATACTAAAGACTACGGTATGCTTAATATAGGTAGGTTGCTATCAACACAAAACCACGCGTTCCTCGTTTCTCATTCAATAAGTTAAAAATACTAGATGAATGAAAAACTATTAATGCTGTCTATGTACTGTGACGATGTGAATTTGAAGTAAGCAATGGATGTTATAATTTCTCGAAATAAAGTAATAAAATAATATATGTATAAGAGTGTTAATGACTATGTTATGTATGAGGCCCTTAAAAGGACTTAGACTCCGTGGGACCTTTCCCCATGTTTATGTTTTTAAAAAGTTTCTTAACAACCTTTATTTTATATTTTAAAGAATCTTTAAACGTTGGCACTTGCACCAGTGACAAGATTTGGTATAGCTTTAATAGCTAATGCATTTCATACCTATGAGATTAGTCTCTTATAAAGTAAATATTACATTTACTTATAATTAAAATTAAAGCAATTATTATAATGTTACTTCTGATTAGATGCGTAAAGAATACAATTGATTAGCCAGCTTTGATTAAAAACTATTTTAAAATTATACCATGGATTTATTATTTGTAGATATACTTATTATAAGTTATAGTATAAGAAAATTTATTTCCATTGGTTTAATTTTAAATTGATCTTTACAAATAGTTTTCTGATATAATAAGTCACGAATCACGATGCTCGTATATATGTACTTCATGCAAACTCAAGAAATTTCATTTGTTACAATAGTACTCTTAGTATAAGTTTGTATCGCCACACTACATACGAAGCGAATTCTGTTTTTCATTCAATAATGAATAACTGTTAACGCTTCGTATGACATGTTTATAATTTTGGGATACACATACAGAATACTCATGAGGATCCGTACTTCATTACTTAGAATTATGTATACTTATATATTTTAAATAGTATTTTTATTTAATGAGAATTGTTTGAAGTGTTCAAAGATAAATTAATTCCATATATACCTGATCATTCATAGCGTAGACACTTCCTTTTGTGTCGCGGGTGTTGGATAGAGACGTGTCAAGGCTTTCGGGCCGCTAGAACAAAAAAATACAAAATTGAAAAATGTTATCGACTGTTCTATTAGCGTCTGAAGTTTTTTTTTTAATTTGTAAGTTATTATAATAGAATAAGTAATTGAACTTTTTTTCTGTCTAAATAACTTTGCTATTGGTATATAAATGACTGAGAAAGAGGTTCATTTTTTATTTATAAACGGAAAAGTTTAAATGATGATGCATTCATTTAGCTATAAACTGTACAGTTATGTATATCATTTAATGTATTCCACTAAAATAATAGTAATAATAAAAGTTTATTCAGCTGACAATACTCAAGGGTCGAGTCCTTTGGTTAAATTTTTAGTTCCTCATATAATCTCTTATACAAATATCATCGTTTAGAATTGTTAGAAAAGTCGCAAGTCAGGCTTGGTGTTTGTTTGTTCCGTAAGAAAAAAACTAAGCGATTGCATAAATCAGTTAAAATGTATTATTAAATAACTGAAGGATATACTGAATATGTTTCTATTGAGTTGGAACAATTAAATTTACAATTGATTGACTAATGTCAACATAAAGAACAGGTTATGGACTAGTTGATAGCTACAATATGTATTTTGTTATATCTATAAATATATGATTTTTCTTTTACTTTGCTCGTGCACTCATGCATTGTTGTAACATTCAATGGAACCAAAGTTTCGGTATTTCAGAACAACGGGAAGTTCCCTAACAGCTTTGATTCCGTTTTGTGTCTCAGAATGTGAATGGAGCATCTTTAGATTTCTTTTATTTTATTATTTTGTTTAGTTCTAAATTTTATGTGAGTTGTTTTGTATAGATTGTTATATACAAAATTAATACCAATATTTGTACCTAGCAACCATTAAACATTTAAAAAATGGCGCAAAAAAGTTATGACGATCTGGAATCCTATACTTTTTTCAAGGCAGCTAAATATTTTTTGTAATAAAAGACAGAAGCTTAGTGGAATTCGGTTCCTCAGAATCTTCATGTGTCATTGATAAATTAAAATTTAATTTTATTTTGATTCATTATTGTTTTAATTTAAAGTATCATTACGTCTCATAACAGTTCTAAACACTCTCATACCTAAAAAATATTTACTTTTTTATCTTGTTTCGATGACTGTGGTTATTTATGATATAAAAAAAAAACCGTTTAATTAAAAATACTTTTTAGTATTTCCTTGCAATATACTATTAAATGAATCATCAAATGATTTTTAGAATCACTGTTCTTAATATTGAGGTACCGATGCTATTAGCTCCAATAAGTGGATACCGTACATTTAACCTACTTCTATCATTAGTTAATTAATTGATATTTATTGAATTTGTCATATAACAAAACTTTTTGCTTTAATATTTCATTTATCACTTGATAGAGTCTTATTAATTATATATCATAAAATGGTTATATTTTATTTATAAGTTCGAATGAGAAATTCATGATCATGATTCTATTTCATACTGATGACGAATAACAATGGCGTTAATATTAAAATTGTTATTCAACAGCATTTTAGTTAATAAGAAAATGTAATTATGTAGTATAAAATTTAATAATTTGTATTGAAATAATAAGGTAACAGTTAAGTTATTTACGATACAAAAACTTACATAGCATAAAAGCTAACGAAGTTGTACATAATTTCAGTATTATCGCGATCGAAGGTCAAAGTCTTAATGGTAAACGCTTAATTTATCTCGATGTTGAATTTATTACGTCGTATCGCGATGGATACTTATACCCTGGCAACGATGCTGGAACAAGAAACAAAGTAACCGTGATCCCAACAACGAGCTCGTTAACTTTCCGGCATGATAGTTAACTTCAATTTTATTATATTACAAATTTAAACATTATTAAATTTACCACGATCACGGAACGTAATATCAGGTTAGGTTAATAAGCGATTATGAACGACATGAAAATAATTTGTTGTTTTTTTTTTTTTTTTTGTATTTTAATATCGCTCGATCGATTAGGTACAGTTACATGTGAATTTATGTAGCAATATATTCGTATTTTTTAATTAAATTAAACATCCATAATTATAACTTGATTGAAATTAAGTTTGGTTAAATTTAAATTTTATAATGTTTTATTAAGCCGAATCTAAGTTTTGACTTAAATAGCCCTCTTTCGTATTTCATTTTAATTTATTTAAAGGTAAGTGTATTGACTTTTTGGAAACGTAAGTAGAAATTCACATAAAGGTAAGTAGACATTCACAATTCACCCTACTTCTATTATCATCATCATTCCATATAAAGAAGTCGTGGGAGATTAAATTCTATCGTAAAATGTAAATTGTTTAGAATTTGCTTAACAAATTACTAATGTATTTACATGAAATATTATACAAGGGAGATTTTTTAAACTATATAAATTTTATTCATGTATTTTGAAAATAGCATTGATGTTTATATTGCAAAAAATATTCTCATAACGAGTATCGTAAAATATATAGAATGAAATATGCTTTACTGTACATAGTTAACTAAAGAAAATGTATAAAAAAAATCAATACTATAATTAAAATCATACAATAGTGAGCCTTATCACTACCCAGCGATCTATAGTACAATGACAATATAAGAAGAAAAATTATTAATTTAAGACCGGTAAAGGCGAAGCTCAATAAAACGACTATCATTATTATTAAAAAGAGAAAGAATCTATAAAATAAAAATATTAACCGTTGTATTCTATCAACAATTACGGAGAATGGTTGTTGAGCGTGCAAACACTGACCATTTAATATTGCAATCTTAAGAAATTAGAACTAGGACGTGAATTTGTTTTGCAATCGATATAATAAATATAGTTTGAGATTTGTACATAACATTCTTAATAATAATGTTACATTAAAAATCTGATTACTATTGAAGATGATTACTTTTATATTTCTTTGAATTAGATTAGTTGTATTCAAGAAATACGATAAAGTGGACGTAAATTGGATTAAGAAAGTAAAGAATTTTTTTTAAATAAAATTATGCAATAGATAAAAAAATATATAGTTTAATATAACAATAGTTTTCTAAGTTATTTGGTCAGGTTTCAGATGCTGTGATAAATTAAAAATGTGATACTAGTTTTTGTAAAATGTCATATATAAATAAATTTTATCTGAAAAAAACATGGACTATTATTAACTCCATGTCTGGTACAAACATAAACCAGTAAAAAAAATAAATTTCATAAATACTATTTTATAGCCTAGAGACAACGAAAACTTATAGAAAAACATTCTTTTATCGGACAACATATTATATGTTATGAAGAATTCCTCTTAATAACTCACACAACCAAGCATATTTATAAAAGTAATTTCAATAATTCTTTATTCAAAAGTGACAGTTTCTAAAACAACTTTTTTAATTACGACATATTTGATTAATGATCCACAGATAAACAAAATGATTAATCGTTTATTCAGAAAATAAAAAAAATAAAAAGGCTTTATAAAATAAATTAGTTATGATGTTCCAAAAATCGATTGATCAATATAGTGCCTTGACTTAATGTCGATCTCATTCCGGGACCGGTTTCTGTATACACCGGCTGTGGTCCCAATAGCCTATTATATGTTGCACACTATCAACGCTAAGTGAAAGGACATGCCAATAATTGCTGTTATTCAATTTTGTAATATATCTAACTTTATAATTTTAAAAAGTTATCTTTCAATCAAATCCGTTAAAGCTTTAAGTTTGACGTCTAAAATACAAAATGTTGCCATGTGTATCCCGATACTATTAATTTACAATAACGTCCGTAATGATTGTATGATTATAGTATGTTTTTAGAGCGTGGAAAGTAGAAAGTTAAAAAAAAAAGTAGGCAACTTTAATAAACATACTTCGGAAAGTAAGTATTTGCCTAAATTATATTAGAAGTTATTTATTTTATGATAGAAATATGTGAAAATAATGCAAAAGTTGCGTGACTTGATAAATTTATATATTTTCAGAAAACTAATACTATAAGTAGGCCTAATTTGGAAGGGTAACTTCTAATAAATACTCAATTTTTATTTTAAATTAATCAATGTGTTTGAAACCTATGTTTCACTTTCAACATTCCTACAAAGCTAATGTTTATCACATATAATTATAAAAAGTAATAAAAATTAAACAAAACGTCGAATGAATTTGAATATTATAAGATAGCATTCCATTAGTCGGTTGTGTGTTGAAGAATTCTTTAGGACATAATTGCCGGTCGCTGACCCCGTTTAGTTCCTCCCACTAAAATAGCGTTAAATCAATTGATGTTATTACAATTGGAACGCATCTCTCATCGTAGTATGCTTACTTTTGTAGGGGAGTCTTATATATACAAATATATATTTTTTAATTTCTTTAGATACGACAGCAAAGGCATTGATAAGTTCTGCTATCTGTAATTTATCAATATTTAAGGAAACAGATAATAATTACGACCAAGTCTATAAATAAATATTGATAGTAAAGTTGTAAAAAATATTATGTATAAGCACATTAAAATAAATGAAATTTTATGGAGGATGAAATACCGGCTCAAAAAATGTTAAAAATGTGTTATATGAATGAAGAATAATTTAAGCTTAATTTATTTCCTAATTTATATGTATTTAATCTTCATTAATAGTTAAAGAGACAGCAAGCGTTAGAAAAATTCTATTAAGTAATTATTAACAGTTAAAATCTTCAACAGTCGTATTGGTGATCGTCATAGCCATATATAAATACCAATTCATAAAATATTTTATTGATTCCACTCATTAAATTATTAAGGTGAAATTTTAAAGTATTATGTTAAAAGAATTAATACGTTATTTAAAATGGCCGTAAGTTCCCCACATTTGTTATCTATATCAATATATCTTTCTTACGGCCCACTTAGCACAGATAATATATTTTATCGTCCTTAATGTTTACATTGTCATGTTATTTAAATGTTTGACTATTTATTTAATAAGCATAAATAAAATTATTTATAATTTACATATACATTTGTACGTAAAAAATTAAAATAAGTTAACGAAATTTAAAAGCTTATTTTCAAATAGTCTTTATCTTCTTAAATGATTGTAATGATAATAAAATATATAAACATAAAATGATACATGATATTTTTCTTATGTTGTAATGAATTTTGTAAAATATAAAAAATAGATCATTTATTTATAATATATAGCATATTGAAATATGTATTCTCTAAATTTATAGTTTCAAAAACTATAACATTTTTTAATGATGAAAAAATACTGTGTTTTGTTTTTTATCGTTAATAGAAATGTTTTTTCCATAGATAAAGGTAACAATGTGTAGAAAATATATAACCTACACATTATGTTTACAGAATATAAACAATAACATATGATATTGTTATTAGAAAGTTGTACCTACCATTCAGTCTGTTATTAAAATATGTAACATAGTCTATCTGCTGTACATCAAATAAATTCCAGACTTTAATTAAAAACGTTCCGGTTCCATGTAAGATCTAATTAATCTATCGAGGAAGTAAATTATAACAATTAAAGTATTAATTGTCAAAACACTAAAACAAGTTCACGATGTCCGTTAGGTCCACAAAAATTCACTTCACACTATAGTTCATAATATAATTGTTTCGTTAAGAATGAAGTTATCGAAAACGTTCAAGTGGAGGTTTTAAATGTACGCTAGACACACGTGCGGCCCGCGCGGGAAGACTGCGTGGCGGAGGCGCGCGCTGCGGTGGGGCGCTGTTAGTTCCTAGTTCGGCCGAGCCACGCTGTGGCGCCACTGTGCCATCGAAAGCCTCTAAAGTCGGTTCTTCTTAAATTTGTAAACCGATATATGTATACAGGTTTTCCTAATGCCCTTTAGCGATCTTTCCAGGGCAAAAGCTTTTTGAGTCGTTGTTTTATTTATGAGTTATTAAGATTTTTCTGTGTTTTTGTGGACCTCTTATGGTTTATTATAAGTAGTGTTTAAGAATACTCTACATCTAACACAATGAGATTTATGAAAGCAGTTTTTTGTGTTCTTTCATTTTACTTGGAAATGACTTGTTAAATGGAATGAATGTAATTTTAAGCGAATTTATAACGAGATAACAATGTTAAAAAAACAAAGCTTTAACCCATAAATCATTTTTTGGATGTTTTGTAAATAAGGGACCCGATTTTTCTCATGATTCATTTTCCTTATTAAATACTTGCTACTGTAAATATAGGGCCCGTATTTTTGTGTCAAGCAAAAATAATACTTATACCTGATGTTGTTTTGACTTAAAATTGCGTTTTTGAGTTGTTCATCGTTATTAAAATAAAATTTAAATTTGGACGCAATTATACAGAAATAATTTATTTACGTTGTAAAATGATGTCGCTAAAAATTAATATATAAATGTCCCTGTATATATGTACTCTTTTTATAGATTGTACGAAAGAACAGAACTCGTATTTATTATACGGAGAATTACTCTGGCAAATGAAGTTATAATATATGATGGTTTAACAGATAAAGATATTGTTCCGTTTTATAGCATCATATAATATTAACGTTCGTACAGTAATGTTTTTAACATTACAGCAATTTTGAGCTATTACTTGAATTGAAATTCCAATATTAGAATTTAATACGAGAATAATAGAATATTTATAGTCTATAAAAGTAATTACTTCAAATCTTTCACTATTTTTTAAATTTGAGATCATGGAACAAGCGCAAACCATTAAGTTTAATGAAAAACTGAAAATAAAATTAGTGTTGTAAACCAAAATTATGTAATATAATATTTTCTCCGTTAAATGTTGTGAATCGATATTAATAAAATTATGAATGCCTAGGTCTCAACTAAAGTGTAAGAATAATATTATTGTAATTTGAAATAATTGAATTTACAAGAATGTTTAAATAAAAATTTTAAGTATTTGAACATTTTACTGTGTTATGATATTTAACTTCGTTATCTTTTAATATCATCGGAAGGATCATATTGTTATTATTAAATATTTTATAAAATAGGTAAGTACATTACGAAAATTTTATAGACTTCGATAAAATTTAAAACAACACTTTTGTTACCTTAGAAGTAAAATTTGTAATTAGAATTTAGCTTGTTTTAGGTAAAACAAGCTTGCTTATTCTGAATAAGTAAATACTTTTACTTACTGTACTTTTGAAATATCGAAGGTTTAATTAAACATTAAAAAGTAATATTCGCATGTTATAGTTTACTAGCTGACCTGGTAAACGTTGTTTAGCCATATGAAAAAATAGGGTTTGGTGATAAAAAAGTAAAAATTTTGAGTTGTATGTATTTTTTAATGCTATTTAATAAAAAAATTATGTACGAAACTATAAATAAATAAAGGTGAACAACCCTTATGACTAAGGGGTATGAAAAATAGATGTTGGCCGATTCTCAGACCAATATGCTCACAAAACTTCATCAAAATCGGTCCAGCTGTTTCGGAGGGGATCTCTGTCTAACACCGCGACACGAGAATTTTATAAATAAGATAGATATATTAATTTACTTCAATTATCTTATGCTTATCTTATGGTTGATACTACTCGTAACTTTTTAAATATTAGCTTTTGTAATAGTGGTATACTATTATTTTAAGTAACAGTCAGATTTAGATATGTATTAGAACAAATGGAATATTTACTATCTAAAGTTAAAATTAGATTTACAAATGCGATTCACGTTTCAACGTTATATACGGCGAAATTAAAAATGGCTAGAAAGTTAGAAAACATTCTAAGATAGTTCACTTCATTCTATTAATTGGTAGCAATCAAATATAATTCTGATACTTTGAGATTGTAATTATATTATAAGTGAAATATTAATTAAAAATAATTAGTAAAAATAGCTTTTAATGAGTTGTAAAATTTTATTAATAAATTTATATTATGTTAAAACATAATGTTGATTAAATAGTAGTATTTTACCACAGAGGTTTTATGGTGCTCATATAGTTCCAAGTTATAATTAATAAGAAGATTTGAAATTTTCATTACTATTAAGGAATTCGGAAAAAAAATTAGTATCATATTTTCTGTAATGAAAATATAAAACGGAAGAAAATATTTATATGCATTTGATTTGATATTGCTTAAACTTTATTTATGTGTTTAGATTTATATGTAAATGTTATGCAAATTCAATTTCAATGTTTCCTTTAACAGATTAAGCAAATATTTTATAATATAACAGGCTTTAATTAAACTTTTATACAACTAATTTAGGATGGAAACTTTCAGCTCAATTTTGGAGCAGATATTGTACGGAACTGCATGGTAAGGTTTTTGACGTCATCCTAGGTCCAATATGGCGGAACACCACTCCCCAAAAATGGATGCGATAAAAACATTTGGAATAAAACCTTGATAAAAAACTTTGAAATTTATTTATTACCACACATATCTTGATCCCGGTCAATTGAAAAATGTAAATGTAATTATGATCGTAATTGTAACTTTTGAATAAATTCATTGTTAAAATATAATTCGTACGTTCTACCTGCGTTTTTAAAAGGTTGCAGTCGGGTACAAATATTTGTATAGGCAATTCCTGTGATTCGGGAATAGGATTATGACGTGAGCAAGCATACGCTTTTAAGGCTAAACTAGTATTTTTTTACAGTTTTTTTTTTGACAAAATCAAAATACCTGTTATATAATGGATAATGTTGTAGTAATTTAAGGAATTTTAAGTGATATGCAATTAAAATATCGAAGAGGATAGCTTTAGGATTCACAGGATTACGTCTTACCCCGTAAGTCCCAGATTCGAAATAAATCGCTGTACTAGCTGAAATTACTTGTGTTTATAAATATTATATATGTCATCATCCTATCAGAGCCCACTGCTGAGCAAAGGCCTCTCCTCACATGGAGAAGGTTTGAAAATTAATCACCACGCTTGCTCAAGACGGGTTGGTGATTTCAAGCTTATAATTGTGCAATTAGAAGTCCAGGTTTCCTTATAAATATTATGTAATTATTGTTTATTCGTAATTTTCCCTTTATAAGTTTCTTTAGAAAGCTAATTGGGAATGTCATATAGTAACTTCAATTATAAGTTTCTAAATTATTTATTACTTAGTTACTTACCTGTGAACTGAGACCAACATGGTGTTTGTTCAGTTATATTTATAAGCATTTTATCTTTATAATTATGATAGCAGATATTTTTATTTATTATTAATCATTACAAAATATTAATAAGAATTATATATTCGAGTGTAGATTGTAAAGAACTTGTTGGACAAAATAACTATAATTTTATTCTTTTTAAATACAAAATTAACAGATAGTAAGGAAGGAAAACTAGAAAACATAGTTACCTATATAATTTTTTTTCGTATCTTTTCAGTATGTTAAGTAAAAAGTTTCGTTTTACATATAAAATACTTGTTTAATTCTGAACCTCAGTATCCACTCTATCACCATTTATCACACGAAATTACTTTCCAACTTTGAATTGTGGTTTATTGTACTTATAACTATGAAAAGATCCTTTATATTTATGACTCTAATGAATTTAATAGAATATTATTCATCTTTAATTATTTTTATTGCTCATAATTTCAATGACACGAATCTAGACTATTTGTAAAATTCTATTAAATTGTTTCTTTTCAGTTTCTATATACACGCTCATAAACAATATTTCATATATACATATATACATATATATATATATACATATATATATATATTATTTCAAAAGGGAAATAGGACAAATAACAATTACTCTATAAGTTCAAATTCTTCTATCATTAGAATTTATTGTTTTTTGTTTTAGTTTTTAATATTAATCATTCAAGACCAACAATTTCATTTAAATAAATTGTTTTCTCCATTATTCTGTCGTTTTAATTACATTGGCTTAGACGTCACACCCATGAAACCTTTAGAGATTACTCAAACAAACCTTTAGTAATCTGAATCTACGTAACATATAGTTTAATTAATTTAATGTTGAGTTAAAATCTTTAAAAATATCTTTTAATTATTGTACATATATGTAACATAAATTATTTATAAAACAATTGAAAACCTATAAGTTGTGTCCGATAAAAATATAACATATTTTGAGCTAGATTTAACTACATATTGAATGAAACACTTTGGCAAATTAACAGGTGGGGGTAGCTGTAAAAACTACATAAAACTGTCATTTACATATGAACAAGCTATGCTAACATAAGTTTAAATAGTGTTTTTTTGTTGTCATGGTATTTTTAACGGGAATTTAAAACAATACATACATTGATGCTATTTTAAGTATGAACGCATCCATATATTAAGAAAATAGTAAAGTATGGCGTAATATAAGAAAAGGATGAGAATGATTGTGCAATATAGGTTTGAACTTGTGACCTTAAGTGTAATGTATCGGAAGGAACAGATATTAGACTGTGAGTTCATATTTAGTTCTTGAGATAATCATGAAATATATGAAAGCTATCGGATTTTAAATGCGGTTTCACCGGTTTGCTTGAAAAAAAATCTATCTCAAAGGACTTATCTAATAATAATGTAATTAAAATCGATTGAACGCTTCCGCCGTGAAAAATTTTACAGTAATATTATTTTATTTACAGTATTAGCTATAAAAATATCTTATTAATTTTAATTGTTATAATTTTCGACTCAAATTACGTTTAAACTAAAAATCTACAAGTTTGGAAAGATTAAAATTTTTGTTAGACTTCTAAAAATTTAAGCGAAGAAGCATAAGGTTTAATTTTAATATACACAAAAAAAAAACATATCTAAATTGTATAGATTAATTTTGAAATAAAATCAATAAAACTGCTCTCGTAAAATACATAATATCTTTTAACCAAACGTCATATACCTTACTTATTTTTATTGAAGGCGTATAAATTTTTATAACTGTTGGTTTAAAAAATAATTAAATTTGTTTAAATATAGATTTGATATCGTTAATTTTCTGTATATCGTTATAAGCATTAAAATTACTATGTAACATTTCACTAAAATTATAAAAAAAATAATGCTTGTGAATTACAGAATTATGAATATAAATCTAAATGATTACATTCCGTGAAAAGCGTAGAATTAATAAAATGTAGATGACGGAGAGAGATAATTTGAATGTAAGTTTTTAATTTATAAAAGTATTTTGAATGACTATAAAACAAAAATATATCTTTATTACAATTATTATGATTATATTAAATGATATCACTTACCTTATACATGTGATATATTTTATAAGATCTGTCATGGTCCTCCGCCGGGATTTGAATGTGATCCATGTTGTGGAAAAGAACTGAGTCACTAGTCCCGTAAAAATGTCCATTTAATTGTTATGTTGTGGTAATTATAGTTAAACACTACGAAAGACCGATATTTTAGTGCATATCATTTACCGGTAGCTATTAACAAAAAAAGAAATCTCCAATTAAAATCGTTATTACAGCTAAACGGATGATTAAAATGAGCAATAATAATTGTTGTCTTAAAAGAATAGAAATAAATTAAAAAAAAGCATTAATATATTTTTAAAACGAAAAGTTTGAAAAAAAAAATTCCAATAAAGTTCCAATTAAAAATAAATCAACCGTGTAGTGTAATTACGGGAATTTATCAATGGAGTATGAACGCGTAAGTGGTGAGGTGTCGTCACCGTCCGTGGGCAAGCGGCGAGCGGCGACCACGTGGCCGGGGCACGGGACACACTTGCGAATCCGCGAGGGAGCACCCGCCGGAAACCGAGGTGTACCGGGGCTCCTCGAGTACAGAGAAGTGGCGGCCCGCGGCGCACCCGCCGCCCCCGCGCCCCTCACACCCGCACCCCTCACCCCCGCACATGCACTCTGGAACCTCCACCCCGCATTCTATGCTCGCCTTAATCGCGAATTAAGGCTCCAGTAATGTTTTCCGACGGGCTTACAGCATAATTTGATGTCATTTATTATTTTGATATTAAATTGACCACGATTTCGAGAATTTTATGCTGCCAATTATAATGATATATCATATTTCGATGTAGAATATAATATAAAATGTAAGGAGTAATTTCTACACAATTTCATCTCGTATGAACTAATGAAAACCTTTGTAATGTAATCTTGGGAATGAGTTTGAGTTACGTTCTGAATATTATTCTTCATCCAGTTTCATATTAATGTAAGAATATATATATTTTTTGTATTGTATGGCCAATTACATGATTCTAATAAGTCAAGTTGCATTTTGCGATGTTTTAATGTACCATTTAAATGCGATATGTTGCACGATCGTAGTGCTAACTTGCAGATATAACATAATCATATCTTCAGGTTGGAATTTAATCATTTAATGCATATTTGGTTCAACGAACAGAGGCAAATTTGCAATAATTCCGTACCGGTTTAGAATCCAGACAACAAGGAATATACGTCCAGACATAGCTATAATTATTTGTGTGAACGGTACGAACGTTCGATTTCGACTTGTATCAATGAGCTAGTCCCTTCGCTGTTAGTCTGCTGTGTATGGCCTTACACTGAATATTATACTCAGTACACTAATGTCAATATTTGGCATACTATATCGGACGCAACCCAGAGGATATTGTATAAAACATATAAGGATATTTCTATTAACTTTTGAAGTGAATATAATAATAATAGAGTTCTTCAACTGTATAAATGTTTCATAGAACCCAGAGTTTTAGGTTATTACTTGTAGTTTACGAATTATGTGAATACCAAATTGTTTGGGAAACTGGGTACTTGTTTTGCTACAGAACATTATAAGTTGTTTAGTGTTATAGTTTGCTAGTTTTGTTCACATAGATTACGAGTCAATAATGATCTTGCGTTGTCTGCATGGTAGTAAAAAGTATCAAGATGCCCTTCTAGGAGCTGAAATAGAGGCAGTTACGCTATGTGGAACAAGTTATGGTCGTGGCGGGCACGTTTGTGGTACGTGTTGAGGCGTGTTCTTGCGGTACACAGGTTGGCTGAGTGGGTCGGTCTATTTGTGGTGACAGAGAAGCGTGGGTGCCGCGTGTACCGAGCTGGAGTGGCAATGACCTTGACACTAAGCGAGTGGCCTTGGGTAGCACGTGGCGGCTGACACCCGCTGTCTGTTGTCGGAACGCCGCCGCCGCCTTTCCCAGGGGAGCCTATTGTGGACATGACCGGAAAATTCCTTGCACATATTTTCAGATAAAGAGAAGTTCGCTAAGATAGAAAGCATGTTAGGAATACAGTATTGTATACAAAACGAAACTGCATTATCATGTATAGCAAAAAATGATTAGTTGACCATCATATTGCTATAAGTATCAAGTCACGATCTTGTTATTTTCTAGAGATCTGATTTTTCTATTACAGATTATAATGGCTGAATGTTTGTTTAAATTATTTTATAAAAAACGTGATATAAAAGTCAAGTCACTACTAAGTTCATTGCTATAAGATATTAAGTGTGTATAAAATATGATTTTCGCAAGGTATATCCATAGGTAGATAGTGTGTGAATGGGTGCGATTCAGAGCGTCGGCGACGTGCGGCAGCGTGTCGAGTGCGGTCGCCGCGGGGCGGCTGCGAGCGGTAGCCCCCGCCCGATACGTTTACGAGCCGACACTAACTTTAAGTGACCCCGTACTCGTGCGCCACTACCGTGTTTATACTCCATCTCAATGAAAACAATCCCACATACTAACAGCGCTTTAACCTTCTTTTGCGATGTTGTTTTTTTTCAGTTCGCTCTCAAAACATGTTACGTCCGCCGCATACTTAGTATCACAATCTGTTTGTGTTAGCAGCGACGATAGTATCGAATACGCCGGCACAATGGGGTATCCCCTGTAAGGTATGCAAGTGGAGTGTTCATTCAGTAATTTGAAGGCAAACGTGCTTATCAACTGTCAAAGAATGCGTGTTGCCGGTTGCGGGATCTACGCCGAGCGCGTGGCAGGCGTGGATTCGGAATGAATGAACGCGCCAACTCGCTTTTTATCGCCACTCCGTTGAAAGCGGGGATTTGCTTGCAAACACCTGTAATTTTGCTTTTAAACTTGTCAATCACTTGATCAAACACGTTTTTTTTGTATCGTTGTTAACAAGTTGTTTTGTGAATTATATTAGCTTCTGTTGTTATCGTATCTATTTACAATCAATACATCAAACAAGTATGTTAGTGTATTGAATATTCATATTTATATAGGTAATCGACTATTATTTTCGTGACTATATCACTATGATTGATTATAAATGTTTATCCTGTACTAGTTCAATTAAATCGCTTTTGTAATAAGTATTTTCAGTGAGATAGTGACATGAGTATGACCAAAAACACTCAATATTATGGAAAATATTACGTAATTAATTAATGTGCTACGTGTCTGCGGAAATGATATGCGTACTTTAAACGTTCGTATATTTTAAAATGTTTACTTATTTATATTTACTATATATTCATATAATTAATACATTTTTCATATAATTAATTGAAATATATCCATTATATAACATATTCTCATGGGTTTAATGTACAGACTGCTATTTCCTGTCTGTAACAATTTATGAAAGGGCCCTTGTAATAAAATATGCATGAAAAAGCGTAAAAAATTCTATTTGATTTTTTGAACGTGATGATTTATATTTTAAATAGTCCACATTTTTATCTCTATATTTTAACTGCATATATTATAAATATTATTCATATTAGACCAGATTTACTTATGTTACATTAACAACTATAATAGACTACAAAGGATTAATGTTAAAAGATATAGGCTGTTAGAGTTTTTAAAGACGTGTTTGCTAAATCTGTCTCAAGTAACGTGAACCAGTTTTTTTTCATCCGGCACATTTTACATCTTGGCACATTTTGGATATTTTTTTCAATATTTCGAGGAAAAGAAACTTTTTTCTAAGTCACAAATTCTTTAACAACGATGCTCCAACCATACCGAGTTTGTAATATAAATTTTTTACAGAACTGACCTTGTTACTTTACTAGTTTTCCTATTTCAATAAAACGGAAATGAAACTATCGGGGAAAAAGTATGATAACAATATAAAATGTGTATTTTGGTATGGAAAAATATTAAAGTATGGAATACAAAACAGTTTGTTTTAAAGTTTTGAAGATTTCAACGAAATGTGAAACATCATTGCTAGACATATATTTATCTTCATGCCTATTGCCTTATTGGATTTTTACCTTATTAATTACAGAAAATAAGCAGAAAGATAAACTAAACTTATACATATTAAAGTTTTATGTTTGCATACCAAACGAAAACTACCAATGAACTAAAATTTTGCGTTCGTTAACAAATTTTTAATCTGCATTATATTGCATAATTCAATAAAATACAGTCTTGTTACGATTTTAATTGGATGCCAGTTATTTGTATTGAGTCATAAAAATATAAAGTACAAATTAAAATTGGTTAAGTAAATCAGAGAATAAAAATAACAACTCTTTTTTTTTAACTGTTTAGACATCATAATTATATCTAACGGATCAAATAATATAATCTATTTTTCAAATTCTGTTAACGATGACAAATGTACCATGTAGATGTCATATTTGAAAAAAAAGAGGCGAAGAAATTTTTGATTGTTGGACATGTCTTTATTACTTTGGATAAAAAATGAGAAAATTGTGACTTAAATTTTTCGTTCGAGTTAGTCATATACCTAGTATATGACATAAAACATTTTAATAAATAAACCATGGTTGAATTCTTTTATCAAAATATTAATGCCAGTATGTTTTATAGAAACATCAGCTTTGATCTAAAAAAAAAAAAATCTGTGTCCCAACATAACTTTAACAATTTGTTGGATTTGAATTTGCAATCTAAATTTGTTGTCGAAGTAGTTGTTCAAGAATTTATCGCTCCTCACCCAATTTTAATAAAATTTATATGGAAATAATTTGATAAAAAGTTTATTAAATACCAAAAGAATTTATGAAATCTTTCTATAACTTGTAGGTTTAAATTTGAATAAATTTTTCTTTATACACCTACTTAGGTATATATATATTCTTAACGAAGTTAGTTAGAATAATTATTTTATTGTTATTAAGCGCTTGAATAAATACAACATCGTAGTTGCATTAGTGTTAACTATAGTTCAATAATAACATCTAGAGCTTGAAGCGAAACTACAGTAATGGAAAACTAATATTAGAATACAAAACGTACTTAGAATAAAGTTCAACCCATTAATTGATTATTTTTTTTATTATAAAAAGATATAACGAAATTTTTTTAATACTCTCAATCTATTAGAATTCCCGACTACATAAAAACTCCTTAGTAAGAAACTTTGAAATAAATTAAAGAATGATGTATTTATGTTAAAGGAATATTTTATATTCACAGCTTGTCGCTATACTGCAGAATCGCGATATTATTACTGTTAAAAGTTATTTAAAAATTCAATATTATTTCAAAACTGTTTTAAAAGTTGTGTAGTATTTTATCTATCTAGAGGCAGTGGGGAAATTGTGATCTTTGAAATGTGATTGAGTTAAATGTTATTCTGCAACGTCGAGCGCTTTCAATTTAATTATTTGGAGGCATAATAGCTACGTAAAACTTACTACCAATGGGATGAAGTTTATATAAAAAGAGAAACACTCAGATAGAAGCTGTAATACTCTAATAAATTGTTATGAATTTATTGGAATATAGAGAACACATTTTCAGTCATATTGAAGATGCTCTTTACCTAATACATTTTCTTTGCATGTCCCAGTAAGTAATGATATTCAAAGAAATCTAAACGCGATATAGATAATATAATAAAATAAAATTGCTATGCGAATTCGTGAGAAAATTTAAATAAATGACTTTTCTGTTTGCACATAAAAAGAAATATATTGCGGCACAATGAATGTTGGGGGGTAGAGGATGGGTGGTGGGGTAAGGCGGACGAGAGACGGCTGTGGGGGGCTGGGGTGACTGGTACACCCAGGGGGGGGAGGGTGACCCACTTTAACGGGACAAGTAATATTACTTTTTACTTTTAGGTAACTATTTCACATTTTATCGTGATAATAACATAATATATTGTAAACACATAAAGTTTTTTCATATCGCTGTTGAATTTTTAAATTAAACTTTCTTTATTTGTTATTTATTATGTTTCTAATCTGATATTGTTATTACATAAGGTCAATTTTATTTCAATTAATATGTATACTTATTAAAATATGATGTATTGTGGTAGGTTTTATATTTTATTGTTTCATTATAAATTATAAAATCTCCTCGATTTATTTTAGTTAAATGCAGTCGTAAGTCTAATTTAAGCGAATGAACGTTCTGTTATTGACGTACTTGCTTCGTATAAGTACTATGTTTATGTATAATACTCAGCCCCCATTCTCATATTTTGTATGGGAGGGGTGTTATATTTGTTTGAATTAATTAAGTTTTCCTCAATATTTTTTTTTTGTTTCATGGCAATTTTATTAATACATGTAGGTAACGTAGGGCCGAATTTATTACATAATCAAATTATTATTCACTTATTCTATATGAAAAATACTCTACAAAATAAATCAATTGTATTTAATGAATAATGGAAACCTATCTTTAAAGATAGAACGAAGAATAGGGGTATTAATTTAAATGTATAATAGTATACAACCGTCTCTTTCTTTCTAAGTATCATGAGATAGGCGACGGGAAACAATAACGTTTTAAGCTCAAGACAAGATCTAATTAATTTTTGATTTAATATCTTATTAGAACGGCTTTTGAGTGGAGGTTTTTTTATAAAAATAATGACACAAAAAAAAGCTTTTCTAATTTTAAAAATAATCTTATCTATTTTATTAGCTATTGTAATATATACGAAGTTGATTTCGAGTGTTTGAACAGCGTTTTTTAAATAGTATTTATTAATATGACATAAGATGTCATAATAACATTGTAATGGTAATAAATAAGTTTAAGAATAAAAACGGATTTGAAATGTCCAATAAATAGCGAGTCCACGGCGGATTTGAATAGTATTATTGGATATGTTATCAAACATTAGCTAAGCAGTTAATGCCGAGTTACATCCAGAGCCGACTTATCGATCAGGCATCTTTATGAGCACTAGATCGTGTAAACATGTGATGTTTTAAGAATGAAACGAAGACGAGTGCTCGTTTATAAGCG